CTGAGGCCCTAGGTGACCGCCTTGGTCGCCTTGGGCCAGGGCCGGCTTTGGGCAAGAGCATGAATGACTCTATTGCCATGCCGACTTATATGACTAAGATGTGAAAAGGAGAAATACTCAAACAGTACTTGCACATCAAAAGAAATAGCATGAATTTTCATTGGACCACAATCCACCCCATTCACCGCTTAGACCACCAACAACGCATCACATTCAAATCATACCTGATCGAAACATTGTGATACAGCCCATAAGACAGTTTTATGGAGAGAAACAGCTTCGGCCTGGGAAGCACTTTGCGCCGGGAAGGGAGAGAAAAGCATCCTAATTTTGGAAGAAAGTAACAGATAAAGGGTTTAAGTTTCTTCAAGTACATTACCGGGACTTATTTATGAAGTAGATGGAGTCAGATTTTATGACATTATATTTATGCTTGATACAACTCTGATTCCAAGAAAATTGATTTTCTTTTCAAATTCCAGGAAGATTTGATTCCAAACAAAGTGGGGTTACAAGCTAGAATGTTTTCATGTGTGCTCATGTTCTCTAATATAAGCATTCACGTTATGTACTCTCAATTCGATGACTAAAACCAATCACTATAGTATAATGATATATATTTTACCTCCCAAAGAGAATATGATGAGATTTAAGAGTAAGGGATAAAAAACATTCGACAATTAAGGATACAAGTTGACCATGAGAATGACCACTTGATAGACTTACCGGGAGGGTTTAAGTTTTTTCAAATACATTACCGGGAGTTATTTATCAAGTAGATGGAGTCGAATTTTATGACATTATGCTTGATACAACTCTGATTCCAAGAAAATTGATTTTCTTTTCAAATTCGAAGAGGATTTGATTCCAAACAAAGCGGGGTTACGAGTTAGAATGTTTTTACATGTGATCATGTTCTCTAATTTAAGCGTTCACATTATGTACTTTCAATTCGATGATTAAGGCCAACGGCTATGGTATAATGATATATCTTCTACCTCCCAGAAAAGGATGATGAGAATTAAGAGTTAGGGATAAAAAAAAATTCGACAATTAAGGATACAAGTTGACTATGAGAATGACCACTTGATAGACTTACATTTCAGTGGAGTCATTTAAGGAGTTAATGGTGCCATGGCTCATGGAGAGTCATGTCACATTTAGTATGGAAATTCTGGAGGCTTTGTTCCAATCATCTTAAGTCCTGCAGCCCAAATACAAAAGGACTAAAGGAGTGTGTAAAGGTATCGAAACAATAGGCCCAAATGAAATTCCGAGTAAGAAATAGGCCAATATTGCCAAATGGATCCAATCTAAAAACAATAGGACCTAGACATTGGTCCCCTGGGAGGCCCAAGTTATAAATTCTGAAAGGTCACTTTCAAAATTTCCAGGCGCCCCACCAATGATTCTAATTTGGGCTGAACCACATATATAGGAAGGATGTGGCTTCACTAGAGCATCTGTAGTAGTAATTTTTTTCTTGTTTTATTTATTTATTTTATTTTCCTTCAAGAATGTTGATATAAGGAAATAATATACACAAGTCCAATTTATTTATCTTTTCCAAGGAAAAAAGGAATTAATTTTCCATTTTCGAGATATATATGTATATGTATCCAAACAGTTGATGGATATCTTGTTAGTATGTGAATGTTTTTGCGTGGAAAAACTTTTGATTGAACCGAGAATAAGCCATAAATAATGAATTGTAGCTATCCATTTAGACAGAATAATATTCTTTGTTCAGGGAATGCGCCAATTTGAGTCGTAATCATGCTCGTATATATCCAATGATTGTAAGCAGCCAAAAATAGTTGGATGAATTTGGAAACACAAATTATAAAATGGAGCTATCAGAGGTGGAACCCTTTTTACATTTCTGATACCGAGTGGTCTTGTCATGGCCATTTCTACCTTTATGATCTATACCCAACAATTGCCTACTCAACATATTCAAAATATATGTGTGTCTATATATGTTATATATATGTGTGTGTGTGTGTGTGTATCTATGTTTAGATGCTCTTTGGTATAGTTTTACTCTGGATAGACAGCATTCTTCCATTATTTTACTATAGATGATTTGAGAAATGCAGCAATATTTGGTGGGGGACACGACAATTCCAACTCTTTTAGGCGGAGCTAGAATTTTTTAATTGAGGGTGCTAAATAGTGATATAAAGTTACATTTAATAAATTTATAACATAATTGCAATAAATTTTTTTTTTCTTTGTGTGTATTTTTAATGTACATTTTTATGAACAAATCTATTAACGATATGAGAAAAATAAATAGAAAGAAGATTAGTTAAAGTCCATTATAAAGTTGTTATTGTCCAATATTATTAAGTTTGATTTTTTAAAGGCAAGACCAAAAGTTTTAAAAGAGATCTAAATAATTTATTTCATAAACCATCTTTAATTTTCATAGATAAGTAACTATAAATGAGAACTTTATAAAATTTTGGAAGGTCAACTTTAATTTTCTTTTACAAAATTACCATTAATAACCATCAATAATTACTGTTAATAGAATTCTGAAAAAAATTTGGGGGGCCAAATTTTATATTCTATACAAAATTACCATTAATAAAAAAAATTGGGGGATGGCCCCCCTACCCCTTTGGCTCCGCCCTGGGTACGTTTGGATTGAGAGATTTGGAGGGATAGTGTGAGAGAAAAGAAATGAAAGGATTTGTGTAGGTTGTGTTTGGGTGGTTTAAAATGAGAGAAAATAAAGAATAGGGAGTGATAAGGTAGAATAGTTATCACTCCTTATCCTAACCTATTTCTCCAAAAATAAGAAGATAATGAGAGAAATAATAGTGTTAAAATGATATTTTTATAATTATGAAACTATTCTCAACAATTAAAAAGGAAAAAAAAAATTATTTTATTCATGTCCTATTTATTTAAAAATACATACTAATAATTTAGTTATTATTCTTTCTTTTTTTTTTTTTTTTTTCCCTCCTACATACCAAACGAGCCTTACTAAAGTTTATGAGGTTTAATGATGGTAGGTTGCAGTTATTGCATGGATGCATTGCCTATAGATTGGCATTTTTGTGCTTGACCTTTAATTTCAATTTCAGACATGGGGTCCTCCGCAAATGCTTGATTTTTATTTTTATTTTTTTTTTTTTTTTTTTTTTTTTTTTTATGGTCCTGTGTTTTCGAACATTAATCATGGGCCAACACAATTATCCTCTTTCTCACAAAAGTTTATCTTGTCTCATGCAGCAGATCCAGATCTTGAAACTTTAATCACTTTTTGTTTTTGATGCTCAATTGCTCATACACCAAAATACACTAACATTGTTGAATTGAACAATAATAATTGTATTCTCTTTGAATTTAGAGAGACCACATGTCAAATCGAGTGAATGAAGGATATGATAAATTTTAAAAAATAATATTACCATATGGATACAATTTTAATTTTTTAATCAATTTCTAAATTGTATTTATAAATGAACACATTCATAATGCATCCACCAAATAGCTCATAAAATCATAACCCAATGTACAAATAAAATTATATTATATATATATTTGTATCTCATAGTAAGATTATTATCTTTGTAATCGAATACCTCCGCAAGATTGAAATCACTTTATTTCTTTCCCAAGTTCTCTCTCTCTCTCTCTCTCTCTCTCTCATTCATGGGTCTAGTACTTCTCTCTTTTCCAACTGTTCTCCCCATCTTCTCCATTTCTAAACATATTTAGATCTCATATCTCAATTCATTGATTTCTCTTCAAATGAATACACACAGACACACACACATGCACATATATGTATATATCTCATCATCTTCTCTTGATAGATTCAAAAGGCTTTAATTATTAAATTAAACTTATGTTCATTAATAGAAGGAGTAAGAAGAGCCAAATGTCAGCTAAAATGAGTGAACTCATAATTCATCATTAAACACGAAAACTTTCTCACGTTAATTAAAAAGTTAGTTCAAATCTCTTTTAATTCTAGAATTGATTGAACAAAATAAAATTTCAACGTCCAAGTAATGTAAGGTAAAATGAAAGAAATTTGTAAATTATCAAAATTTGCCAACTTATCACTTATGTACTTGTAATCTTACAATAATTTCATTGAACTTATCCAAAAAATTGTAATTTGCGCTTGTGTAATGGCTCTGATCTTATTGTGACTGAAAAATTCAAAGGGATAATCAGAGTTTAGGGAACTGAATGGGGTTTCAACTTTAAGGCGAGTACCAATTTGTTTTTATATGAATCATAAATTGATCCAAGGACATTTATATCAATAGAAATGGGTAAAATAGAAATTTTCATAATTGATTTGTGACGTGAAATACAAGTGATAAATTGATCCAAGGACATTTATTTTTTAACGTTAAAGCAAAATGTACATAAGTGCGGATGGATATGATTTTTGGGTTTCCGGTGCTTTCATAATACGGTAAACCTAATTAAAAGGCGGTCCGATATTCAGTGCAGTGGTGGGCCCTTTTCTTGTGGGCCCACATCGTCTGAGCCCAAGTTCCTGAGGTACGGAAGCAAATTCAGTGCAACTTATAATAGTATTTTGCTTTCAAGTTGACAAAGTGGGGACGCGTTGATGGCATTCCCGTAATATGAGAGAATCTTTGGATTTTTTGCAATAGCCATACAAAAAATCCGAACAACCAAAAGTCACAAAGTTACAAAGTTATAGAATCTTTGGATTGTCTCTGTATCACTATTTGTCTAGACGGAACAAAAAATTGGTACTGATAATATAATATCCACAACTATTTATCTTGCAATGTAATGTGTTTCAAGGATGTGAGTATTTTCAAAATAAATGTGTATGGATCGTGAATAAAGGTGGAAGTTTGTGTTGACAAGTTATATTTTTGATAATTTATTTAACTCACCATTAGATTAAATTAAATTAATTATGTTGGTCAATTAATAAATTTTTTAAGTATAAAATCCAAATACAATAAATATAGATGAAAATGGTGGAGGACTATAAACTTTTTAACAGCTGCGGATTGTATGTCTTAAGTTGTGCTGCTTGGTTTTGTTTGTTTGGCTTTGTTTGCCTTGAAAGAAAAAAAAAAGAAAAAAAAGAAAAAAAATTAGAGCTTTGCAGCAATAATTCGCACTTGAATGCATGTACAAAATCGAACCCACAATCACTGCACACTCCTTGTCTGTGTGCGAGAGGAACCGACCATATTAATTTCAGAGACCTGATTGTACCGTCTTCTTCTTCAATGTTAGCAGCACTAAATGCCTTTCCAGTTTCTGTTCTTCCTCTTCAACCACCCCTGACCTCCATTATTATACTACTCCTACTTCACTTCTTTAAATTCCAAACACACATTTATTTATATATTTTAATCACTCTCTCTTCCCAAGGTTCTTCTCATACATCCTTTCTTTCTGTAACCGTCTTTCAATTTTCCTTATTGGGCTGTTCTCTGTTTTTCCACAATATCTGAGACAGAACATAGTTTGTTCGTTCATGTCTTCTTTTTTTTTTTCCCTTGGGTTTGCCATTATTATATGAAAAAATCCAAATTTTCCGAGGGTGAAATCTCTATGGGGTTGTTTGTTTTGCTGATTTTGGTTGAGAATTTACGATGGTACTGTCTCTGTTTCTTATGAATTCTATAAAGTTTGTGTCTTTCTAGGGTTTTTGTTTGCCATTGTGAAATCAAAAGCCTGCAATTGGAACTTTTAATGGGGTACTCAAACATGTTAATTGTAGTGTTTCTTTCATGGGTTTTCTTTATCTCAAATACCCATCAATTACAAAGTTATGAAACTCAACTTCTTATGCAGCTAAGGAAGCATTTGGAGTACCCTTTACCATTGGAAATTTGGGGAAATCAAAATGGAGATTTGTGTAGTTTGACTTCAACCCCAAATATGAGCATCAAATGCCAGGACAATTCTGTCACAAAGCTCGAAATTAAGGGAGATAAGCTTTCCAAGGTTAGTGAATTCAACGGATATCCAGTTCCCAATCACACTCTATCCAAGAATTTTTCTATTGATTTTTTTGTTACTACATTGACAAGATTAACTACCTTAAAGGTTGTTAGTTTAGTGTCTCTGGGAATTTGGGGACCATTTCCTGATAAAATTCGTAGGTTGTCTTCACTTGAATTTTTGGACATGAGTTCAAATTTTATGTTTGGTTCTATTCCACCTCAGTTATCTAGACTGGTTAAGCTTCAAACCTTGACATTGGATAGGAACTTCTTCAATGACACTCTCCCTAATTGGTTGGATTCATTTTCAAATCTCACAATTCTGAGCGTGAAGAACAACAAGTTGAAGGGTCAGTTTCCCTCTTCAATCTCCAAAATCACAACACTCACTGATATTGCCTTGTCACACAATAAGCTTTCTGGTAAATTACCTGATTTGAGTAGTTTAACTAGTCTGCGTTTATTGGATTTAAGAGGAAACCATTTAAATTCTGAACTACCTCTAATGCCTAAAGGTTTGTCCACAGTTCTTCTGAGCAAGAACTCATTCTCGGGTAAGATTCCGGAACAATATGGCAAGCTAAACCAGCTTCAATACCTTGACCTGTCTTTCAATCTTTTGAGTGGAACACTGCCTTCTGCATTGTTCTTTTTGCCAAACATCACTTATTTGAATTTAGCATCCAATATGCTGAGTGGGGCACTTTCCAGCCAATTGAGTTGCGGGGTTGAACTTGGGTACATTGATATATCTTCGAACAGGTTGATAGGTGCACTTCCTTCTTGCTTGGGCAATACTTTGGATGGTAGAGTTGTTAACTTCAGTGGGAATTGCTTGTCCAATGATACTCAACATCAGCATCACAAGTCATATTGCAAAGAAGCATCCAGGGGAAGAGAAATAGGGCTGTTAGTTGGTGTCATTGGAGGAACTGTTATTATTATGGTACTCTTGGCACTTGGGCTTCTCATTTTGCGTAAAAGGAACCGGACACTGGAGCAGCATACATTGCCAATGACTCTGCAAGATAATTTCCAAGCAGGGATTTCTTCTGAGCTACTCGCAAATGCTAGTAAGTTTATACGGTATTTGTTAAGATCTATTATTGTTCTTTTCGTTATTGTTCAAAATGAAAGCTGTTTTCATGCTTCATTTACAAAAACTCCACCTTTATTATTATTTTTTTATTTTTTATTTTATTTCTTTAGGGCTCATTTCTCAAGCAGTGAAAATAGGGACACGAGGAGCCCCAGCATACCGATTGTTTTCCTTAGAAGAGTTGGAAAAAGCCACAAGCAATTTCGATCAGTCAATGTTCTTGGGTGAAGGTTCTATTGGGAAGGTATCCCTGAAAAACTCTTGTATGGTTTGGGAGTTTATGAAGTATCAATTTCTAATTTCAAGATGGCGATTCTTGTTTATTATGCATGCAATGCTAACTTGAGTGCAATGCTCAAGGATATCTTTAACATTTTCTCTTCATCTTCTCAGCTTTACAAGGGAAAAGTAGAGAATGGGACTCAGGTTGCTGTACGATCTCTGACTTTGTTTAGAAAATATTCAATTCGAAACCTTAAACTTCGGTTGGATTTACTTTCAAAGCTTCACCACCTGCATCTGGTTGGCCTTTTGGGCCACTGCATTGATGATAGTGGACAAGATGATTCTTTTAGTGGCAGAATCTTCCTTGTATATGAATATATGCCCAATGGGAATTTTCGCACCCGTCTCTCAGGTCAGTGTAGCATGACATATTTATTCAATTAGTTGACATACATGAATGCATGAATATATACAAACATACATGCCTATACGCTGACAGATAAAAAGGAACATGCAACATGATTCGTTGTGCTTAAAATGGTAAGAATGCATGGGTATTTATCATAAATACATTCAGATGTTCAGATGAAGAAAGTCAAATGGGAGGACTGAATTTTGTATCTTGATCCAATTAGTTGGAATAGAGCTTTATTAGCCAAATTTCAGGGTGTGAGAGTTTCCGGCTGTGAGACCTCAGGCATATGTTACTAAACAATTTGACTCCTTGCAAGTTTGTAATAGTCCCTTTGACCTTCTCATCTAGGAGGAAGGGAAAAGACATTTTGGGGGGCGGGGCTTGTCATTGTTGTTTTAGTATAATCTCCATCCAAAATTTGAAAAAAAGAAAAAAGAAAAAAACTACTGGTTATTTAGAAGGATGTATATGGGTTGGGTGATCCAATATTTTAATTGCATCATTTTGTGATCTGGAGATGAATCCTTGTTGGCACTCAATATAATCTTTTGACATAAACCACCTCTATGGTCATTTTGTTTATATGTTGCAGTAGACTAGTACCATTCAAACCTACAATTTTAAAAATATTCAGTATGCAGCAACTTTATGTAAGTTGTAGCCTCACTCTAACCATATTTGTATGTGCAGAAAGTTGTCCAGAGAATGTTCTTAAGTGGTCAGACAGATTGGCTGTTCTGGTCAGTGTTGCCAAGGCTGTGCACTTTTTACATACTGGGGTAATTCCTGCGTCTTTTAGCAACCGATTGAAGACAAATAATATATTGCTTGACCAGCATGGGATTGCTAAGCTGAGTGACTATGGATTGTCCATAATCACAGACAGAATTGAAAAGCTTGAGGTTTGTTCTTTATTAATTAGAGTACCTTATTGATATTGCAAAAATTTCTTGATTTCATGTTTATATCTAACATAAGTATTGCTTGGTTTGTAGGTGAAGGAAGATGACTCTAAATCATGGTAGGTATCCTTTTGAAAAAACTTTCTTGACAGATGTTCTTGGGAGCAGAAGGGATGCTTCTTGATCTAATTTTTATATGAATAAAGTTTGGCTGCTTGACCAGCCACCAATGGACAATTTATGATAGAGCTTGGAGATTGAAAACATAGAACTTCTGAACTAGGAGCATGATTATGCAGTTTTATCGCGTCTTTTTGTTATCGTCTTATCTTCCTAGACAAATAAAAAAAACAATGGGGGACGGGGGGTTGAGCTCATTGAGTTCATAGAAGTTTACTCTGTGTTCCTGATGTTGTGGCTTGACTTATTCCTTTCCTTTCACATCTCAAGGAAAGGCACGTTGTCATTTGTTAGTTCTGTCAAAAAATGAAATGGGAAAAGGTTTCTGTGTTTATCCTTTAATTTAAGAAAATAAACAAAAACAAACAAACAAATGTGAAAAGGTTATATGCCAGTTAAGACAAGTATTAGGTAATTTACTTTTCCTTTCACTAATACATAGAAAAAGGTCAGGATCTCAAATATGAGAATGTGAACTATATTCATAGAACAGTCAATTTATGAAGAGAGGGAAAAAAAACATTCACCACTCCTAGAACCTGAAATAAGTGGGACCAATCACCAAAGTTTTGTGGTGAACTTTCTACTCAAGCTATTATTAATAATTATTACTAATATTGACATGAAATATTTGACCCTGCGACATGCTTTATTGCAGGCATATATCAAAGTTGGAGGATGATGTTTATAACTTTGGTTTCATATTACTCGAATCAATTGCAGGGCCTATATCAAGTGGAAAAAGAGAAGCGTTTATGCTAAATGAAATGGTATGCTAACGCTATGGTTTAAATGCATATGTTTTGTGACACTTTACTTTTATATAGTTTATTTGTCAGTTGAGTTTTTTTAAAACTCAAGGTACCTAATTGCCAATTCAATATTAATTTCTATATAAGTTGATGTCAAGCTAAGATCATGAAGTTATATATCCTAGAGACTTAGTTGAAATTCTAAAAAAAATTCTCCAAGGGGAAAAAATGATCGTTCTTCTCTGTGTCATCAAGAGATTATTGTTTGGTGTGTTGGTAAAAGCTTGAACTGCCAAGCATGGTAATATCTATATGGATTTGAGTTTGATGGCAGTCACTTTGTGCAAACAATGACGGACTTTAGGTTTTTATCCAATCTACTTCTCCCAGCACCCTTGATAAACGTGTAGGACACTGGCTAGTGGCTTTTTTGTTTTTGTTTTTGTTTCATCAATTAGAGAATTTGATGAGACAAATTTGTACCATTTTCATTTCTTTAATGCAGTAGATTTCTGAGACCTGGTTGTACTCATCACAGGAATCATTTGGTAGTCTGGAAGGTCATCTACAAATTGTGGATCCAATTGTGTTAGCCACTTCTTTACAAGAGTCCTTATCAATTGTGATATCAATCACCAAAAAATGCATATCGCCTGAGTCATCTACTCGTCCATCTATTGAGGATGTCCTTTGGAACTTACAGTATGCGAGTCAAGTCCAGGCGACGGCTGATGCTGATCAGAAACCAGATGCTGCATCACAGTCATAAGTGCCAGACTGCTGTCACGTTTTGAGGGTCTCGCCAACAACTCTGCTCTTCGAACACCCATCCTGATCGAATGGAGCCCAAGAGCAAGAGGAAGTGGTCAAATTTACATGACATGGAGGCATTTTAGCAACAACATTCATTCATACCGTAGAAGCCTCTTTGCAAGTGTGGAAAATTTCCAAGGGGGGCTATTTTAGCACACAACACCACCCATAATCTGACTGTCCTCATTTTGTACATTTTATGTAAATTTGTAAATTCATTTCTAACAACTGTTGTTTATGGATTATGGCTTCCTCTGATACCTTTTTCTCTGAAGAAGACATTGCAGTGAAAATTGTTTCTGAGTTTTTTCATTGTTATTTTTTACTTCTTTGGAATTCTTACTATGTATTGGAATTTGGAACATGGTTATGTATTCAAAAAGCACATCTTAATGTTCTTTAAAAAAAAAATCATCATTTGTTACACTCTAATTTTTGCCGAAAGGGTTTTCCGAGTAACATAATAAGAAAATGAACTTTAATGCAACAGTAATTTTTAAATTTTAATTAAGGTTCATGTGAACTAGTGTTAAGAATTTTCACTTAATATTGATTATTGAAGTTAGGTGTGTTAGGATCCAAATGAAAAAGTTTTTGTTTTGTAGGAAAAATGACATTAAAAGTTTTCTAGGGAAGTTCTTTTTAGTTAGTAACTTCATGACATCAAACCAATAGGAAGCTAGTGCTGTGAAAACCTCCCATGATTAGGCTATTTCCTCAAATCTTTTATATCATTAAATTGATTAATTATCTCTTTCTCAACCGCTTTCAGAATATTAAAATAAAAATAAAAAGAAATAAAATACATTTTTTTTAGAGTGAAATTTTTTCTTGTTATATAAAAAAATTGTTTTCATGAATTGTCCCCATTCTTCAGTGTTATATATATATACTACCCAAATTAGGAATACTATAGAGTAGTTTGATTCCCTTCTTCATGTCTAATTTACGAAATTTACTCCACGTCAGTTTTGAACTCCTTCTAAAAAAAAAAATCATATTTTACAATATGGGAAATAAATAATGAAATCAAAATTTTTTATTTTTATTTTTTTTATGTAAGTGCACTCATTAGTCTTTTGTTTATTCCTTAAACTAAATGACATAAATATCCCTTTTCTTAATTCAGGAAAAAAAGAAGAAGAAGAAGTCCCTTCTTATACTTTTTTTTTTTTTTTTTTGGGCTGGCACCGGAACTCACCTGGGCAGGGCCCCTTCGGGACCCACCCCAGATTACAATGGCAATGGACAGGTTCGAACCTGAGACATGAGGCAGTCCAGGTCGTGACCTTACCAACTCGGTCAAGCCTCCGGGCCCCTTATATTTAATTCTTATGAATTCAATTAAAGATAATATTCCCTAATATCATTTCATGGTAAAAGTGGAGTGTATTTATAAAAGGATGAAGTGCATTTATCACCTCCATTTTAAATGCAGTTCATAAAAATTATAATGTATTTTATATATCATAAATTTAATATATAGTATATAAAAGAATAATATTTACACATTAGAGCATAGGTTGTCTGTCTCAATGTATTATCCATGCAACCTGTTCAATTACTTGCAATGTGGTACATATAGGATGAGGTGGAGTAGTTGTTGCTACTTACCATTTGAGTCTTTTGGAAGCTCCTATCCATCTGTTGGTTACGGAGACATTTGCCTGCTGTTGACTGTTGTTGCCAGATGTGACTTTACAACTTACAAACTCCAGTTCTACGTTATATATTTATATATATATATATATATACAGGGCGAGCCAGAATTTCAATTAAGGGGACATAGAGTAAAAAAAAAAAAAAAAATTCAAAACAAATATAAATTGTTCAAATGAAGAAAAAAAAAAATCATCACAAATATGCTAAATCAATGAATAGTATAAGAAATATAAGTATTTGATTAATTAATATTTTTATTGAATATAGTTATACATCTTTTATTTTAAAAGTGATGCATGAAAATTAGACCCATTAACTTCATAAATTAGATTACTAAGTTAAAATAAATAGAAAAGAAAAAAAACTACATACACATATATCATTCGTAAATGCAAAAAGAAGAATTTTTAGGAGAAAAAAGAAAAGAAAAGAAGAAGAAAAAGGAAAGAAAAATGAGATCTTTCAAAGGAATTAATTGGACTTTGATTGAAGAAGGAAAATTTGACTTTTTTAAAAAAAAAAAATCGAAGAAATTTTAAGAGTATAAGAGCATCTCCTGTTAAAAAATATTTTTGTGTAAAATATACACTATCATATGTGATTTGTAAATTTTTTTCATCTCCAGTATTTTGTTAAGATACACTGCCACATCACCAATATGTAAAAGGGTTATGTATTTTACATAGCACTTTTTACGCCGCCATGTAAGCATATTTTTTCTCTTCTCTCCTTTCCCACTAGCAGTTCTCTTTCTTCTCTCTCATTCCTTCATGCCTCTTTGTTTCCTACTTTTCTAGAGTGGAATAGAGAAGAATATGTAATTGGCGGCAAGGTGAGAACTGTTCAATCATCTTTTATTTACTTTTTTTAATAAACATAATTAGATTCATCACTTTCGTTTAATCTTATCTTCTACAATCATACTGTAGATTATATGATTTTTTTAGATTTTTTATCCTTTTTACATTCTATTCTAATGAGATAAATATGTACTAATCAAATATTAGATATATACTTTAATCACGTAATTTCTACATACGTATATTTTATGTTATTATTTGTTATAAGTTAGAATTTCGGTGACGATGGCATAAAAGGTTTGTTATTGGGGGATGGGAAAGTAATATAGGGGGAAATTATTTAATTGCCAAAAAGTAAACTGAATAAAGTAGGTTTGTAAAAGTTAGATAAGGTTTTGGGTATGACAACGTGGTTGGTTATTATTAGGGGATAATTTTTTACACAAAAGGTATAAAACAATCGCTCGAGCTAAAAATTGGTAGTACAAAATTATTGTGTAAATCTACTTTGACACATCAGATTTACACAAAAAAAATTTTAACAAACCGCTGGAGATGCTATAAAAGGGCAGAAAGAAAAATTTAGAATATAATTTTAAAAATTAAAAATTTTGAGGGCCTCGGGGGCATTATATAGAATTTTTTTATAAATATTAAAATAAATTAAAAAGTAACCATATTTTATGTTAGGCGGGGCAAGCCAGAGGCACATGCCCCCCTAACCCTGTATATATAGATCATAAAAATGTATGGTATTATTTTAAAAGTATTAAAACAGATCATGTTCGATCCCCTTCACCACTGGTACCAGCTGCTACATTTGCTTTGAATCCTTTGATCATCTTGAGGTGGACATGTCAGCTAAATGATTTTAAAAGTATTAAAATGTTGTATATGTATGCTAAATGATTGATTTATTGTTTGCCTAAAGTTCAAGCACATTATTAAATTAATGCTAAACACGTGAGCAAGGTACATTCTTTTTATATTAGTGTTAGGTGATCTTGTCTCCTATATTTTCGTTCATGAGATTTACTTTTGTATATATATATATATTAGTTGGTACTCACACATATATATATATATATATATATGTATATTAGTTGGTATTTACATACACATATCTTTATGGAGACTTGAATCATTAACTTGCCTTTTAAAAGTAAAGATTTGCTGATACAGCTAGATTACTGACTCGTTGATTAAAAATTATATTAGTTGATATAGAGGGTTGAAACTTGTCACTCCAAAATAATATTATTTTTAGTTAGTATTCACACATTCTTCTAAAGAATTGTTTACACCTAGTAAAAATCGATACTGGGACGTGAGGCTTCATGAGGCATAGCGCCTAAGTATTTTTCAACCAGACGAACTTCTTAGGATTTATTTTAATTATTTTTCACTTTGAGGATGATATTAAACATGTAAATGATGTCTTTGAATTAAAATTGAAGAAAAAAGGAATTGTTTTGTTGAGAGAATTATTTAAAAAATTATTTTATTTATAAATATAAAAATTATCTCAATTTAATGATTATGACTCTTGTTTTTAGAATCTTGTTCGTAATCTTACCCGTTTTCAAATGAGTAGATTATGTAATAAGAGAGAAAAAGAAAAAGTAAAACATGTATTTGCCTAAAATAAAAAAATAAAAAAAATCCCTATATTTTTCTATAAATTAAAAGGCTTTCTATTCTTAAAAAAAAACACAAAAGGTATGGGACCATATGATATTTTATTTATTTAACACTGGTGGGGTTCTGACGGCAAAATGTCGGTGAGTATTATGCAACCATTTCATGAAACGACGAACACCATAAAAAGAGAGTACCAAACGACCCACACTAACTTAATATAGGTTATTTACCACGCAATATCGATGGCGTGAAATAAACATCAATTTCGATTGGTACATTGGACCACTTGGGTTTGGTGGTTGTAAATGGAGCGTGATTAACTTACCCCAAAAAAAAATGGAGCGTGTAAACGCTCTATTACACCGAGAGTGGTATTACAATATATACTCTTTTATTGTAAACATTCTCGATGAATAATAATAATCTCTATTTTAAGCAATCAACAGCATTAGGTAAAAGCATAAAGCCAGTCAAAACGTTGTCGTTTCTCCGTATTGTGAATGTAAATTATTCCATATGAAAGGTACGGGACCCTCTTTTTCTCTTTAATTAATTAACTGAATTTTTTTTTTTCCCCAAAAAATACTCTTTTGTTCGTGAGCTTAGCTATGCTTTTTATTTATTTATTTTCTTTTAAGACATTCTTGGTATTCTTCATCACCGACTCACAGGCTCAGAAACTCAGATACATACATACATACATACATCTCTCACAGCCTCATGACCAAACCATCCGATACAGAAGGAAACGCTTTGCCCTTTCTCTTCCCCACATTTCTCCGATTTTTAGCTCTATTTTAGTCTCAGTAAGTGTTTATGTTTGAATTCTTATGAATGTATTCCACTGATTATATATATATATATATATATATATATATATATATATATATATATGTCTGTATGTTGATTTGATGCCGGCATTGTTATGTACTGTGATGGTTCGAGCTTGGGATTGAATGATTTCATCTCCTTGTGCTGGTAATTTTTTGGATCTAACTTAAAATACGATCCAACACTGACAAATTTTACATATTTCTTGTACATAGATTCACTCATTCACATGCTTTTTAAGTATCCAATGAGTGTGCAAACAGAGATTTTTCACCTTAATTGAGCTTCAAACACACGGATTTGAGTTCTTCTGACCTCAATTTGACTGACATTTCTCTTCTTATTCCCTTGCCTTTTTTTTTTTTCTGAAAAATAATTTGTGTTTCTTTTTTTTTTTTTTTTTTTAAAAAAAAATTAGAGGTCCTAACATTAAATTTTTATGCATTTGTGGGAGTGTTTTCTTTGGTTCATGGCTAAGGAGACGCAAAAAACCCAACAATTATCAAGTGAAATCATTTATTATTGAATGTTCTTTTTTGTTTCTTTTAAATGAAATTTGTAACTATGCTCTATTTAATGAACTTAGCATGTTGCAGTGTTTAATTTTTCTGAAACCACTTTTATGTTTGCCGGAAAAACTTATCTATCTTTTACTTTTTTTTTTTCATAGGGGTTTTGTGATTGAATTTGATTAAACACGCAAGTGTTGCATTGTGCATCTGGAGGGATACCAGTGTTGCTGCAACAATGGTTCTGGGACTGAGGACGAAAAACAGGAAAAATCAAGTGGATTATCTGATACACCTTCTGGAGATCAAGCCTTGGCCTCCATCTCAGTCATTGAGATCCCTTCGATCCGTTCTAATTCAGTGGGAACATGGTGATCGGAATTCTGGTTCTACTAACTCAGTTGTCCCTTTCCTTGGGTCTGGTGTTGGCGACGGGAAAATTGAATTTAATGAGTCTTTTAGACTTCCTGTAACACTGTTAAGGGAAATGTCCATTAAAGGTGGGGATGGTGGTGACACTTTCCAGAAGAATTGCATAGAGTTCAATTTGTACGAACCTCGGAGGGATAGGACAGTGAGAGGTCAGCTGCTGGGAACTGCAGTCATAGATTTGGCTGACTATGGCATTGTCAAAGAGACTTTGAGCATAAGCGTGCCCATGAACTGCAAAAGGAACTTTAGGAATACAGGTCAACCACTTCTGTTTATTAAAATCGAGCCAGTTGAGAAAGGTCGCACCAGCTCCTCATCAAGGGACAGTCTGTCAAAAGAAGCATTGCTGGAAAGGAATGGTGCTGAATCTGTTTCTGCTTTGATGAATGAAGAATATGCTGAGGAAGCTGAGATTGCATCATTTACGGATGATGATGTCTCATCTCACTCATCTCTGGCTGCTTCTTCTCCAGCTTTGGAGTCTAATGCGGTTTTACCACCTCAAAATGAAGAGGTATCCCTACTTGTTTTTCTTCAATTCTCCTATTTGTAGTAATAATTTTTTTTAATACTAATTTGCATTTCATTTTAATTCTTCATATGATTGATTTGGAATGTTTATGTTTCTGTGTCTTGTCCGAGTTTGTCATATAAGCTATAAATATTAGATGCACAATTCCTTAGGACAGTGTACATCTGCATGCAGGTAATGTAATGTTGTTAGATGTGTGGCATGATGATAATCTTTTGGATAACCCTAATTTTCTCTTTAAAGATGTAGATGCACAGTTTCATATCATTTGATAACCGGTTGGCATGAAATTGCAGAATGGATCACAGGTAATGAATGATTGCCCAGGCGAGGATAAAGAGGAGCATTCCTTAGCTTCAAAACAGGGGCTTGCAAAATCAGATGTGAAGCCTGTGAGTGAACAACATGAAACTCTGAAGGGGACTTCATCTTCTTTGTCATCAACAAAGTCATCTTCTGATCTGGAGAAGAATGTAATAATTCATGCTACTTCATCTAACCTTCCTGCGCCAAGCTCCTCAATCTCAAAGAAAATTGTTTCCCACGGTGTTCAATCTTCATCCACATCTATAGCTGATGAGGAAACAGAGGAAAAGTTGAACTTCAGCATAAGAAGCAATGAACATGACTCTTTGGCACCAGAGATTGATGAAAATGTTGCTAATGACAGAATTGAAATTAGTGGTACTGCTCAAGGGTCCACTAAGGAAAGTGTATTGAATGATCCTTCATCAAAAGTAGCCTCCTTAGATACAGATTCCCAGATGAATGAAAAGTTGGACTTCGCAAATTCAGTTGAATCTTTTGTCAATGGAGAAGATGATAATAAAGCTTGGAGTCATACAATAAGAAGCATGCACAAGATAGCAAGTACTGATGTTTTTCTGAATTCTTCTACGCAGGACAACGGAAGGGAAAATGAAGAAAATGGACAGGATAGGCAATTCCTGGAAGAGAAAAAGAATTCTACAGAAGATGAATCATTATATAGATTATCACATGATGATACAAGAAAGCAAGTCCCTTCCGGAAGTGATGCAGTTTCTTTCAACAGGGAAAATGTTGGAGTACAGAGTAATGTCCTAAATAATGATAGATTAAAGCATGTGAAGTCTGTTCGCTCCCCAATTGACACGGGCAGGAGCAATGGATCGTTCAGGAGTAATCAGTTTGTGGAAAAAGTAAAAGATGTTAGTATTATAGGAGATGCTCAAAATGGGGTTAGAAGCTTCATTAGCAATGAACGAAAAGATGCTAAGATTTATCCGGAGACAAGAAGCATCTATTTGGACAGCAAGATCCAGCAATTGGAACACAGAATAAGGACCCTTGAACGAGAATTAAGAGAAAGTGCTGCTATTGAGGTTGGTCTTTACTCAGTTGTTGCAGAGCATGGAAGTTCCATAAATAAGGTCCATGCTCCAGCTCGGCGCCTTTCTAGGTTTTATCTTCATGCTTGCAAAGAAAATGGCCAACCAAGGGCAAGTGCAGCTAGAAGTGCTGTTTCAGGATTAGTTTTGGTTGCAAAAGCATGTGGAAATGATGTTCCTAGGTACTTTCTGAATCACAGGTTTTCTGCAAATCCCATGAAAACAGGCCTTCTAAAGGGTGTCGCCTTTGTCAACTAGATAACTAGAAAAGTTTGGTCTCAGACCAAATATTAGTGTTCTTGGTTGGTTGATTGAGGAAATCAGAGGGTTAAGCTGTAAAAACCCTAATGTGGTCCCTTGCAGCAATTTGAATATGCCTCAAGTGTCGGTGTTTGGACTTACTATTAGGCTTACCCAAATGATCTCCTAGGGATGACTGTTGAAAATTTCTGTTCCATTACATGGAAAATCAGAAAAAGTTAACAGGATGGGAATTTGTATATGAGGCCAAAACAAACTTGACTTGGCAGAGTGAGGATTTAGGAGTACGGTCCCAGAGGGACTGTTCATGATACTGCATCTGATTCTTGTAGAGCATTATGAAACTGTATTTATTGCTTAAGAAGGTTCTTAGACCATTTTATATGAGCTCATTTTCTTTACCTCCACTCCTGAATGCAGGTTGACGTTTTGGTTGTCAAATTGTGTTGTATTGAGAGCAATTATAAGCCAAGCCTCTGCAGAACAGCAACTACAATTTGTCAAAAGGACCGGTGGCCAGAAGGGAAACAACAAGAAATCATCTTCACTTGAATGGAATGACACCTCCTCAAGCAAAAAGACTAGAGGGGCTTTACGTGAAATTTCTGATGATTGGAAGGATCCTCGTGCTTTTACATCTGCACTGGAAAAAGTTGAAGCTTGGATCTTCTCCCGGATTATTGAATCTGTCTGGTGGCAGGTCATTTCATAATTGTTCTTTTTAGTGCAATCCCTTCACAAATTTCTCCTCAAATAATTCCAAAGATTTGGTTTGTACCCAATCTACCTACCGAACAACCCCAAACTTGTGTGACCTGTGGACCACCGCAAGTACTGTCTTCCTTTTGAAGGAAAAAAGAAAGAAATTTTTTTCTGCAAACTTATAAATTGTAAATGAAGATAGCATCTGGTTCTGGTTGTAAAGTCTCTTGGATATTGTTCCTGAGACTTTTCCATGAGCTTGAACAGTCTTATCTAGGTGACTAAGATTTGGGGCAACTAATATAATTAGATAATAATAGCTAATACTACTTTGAACCTAGAACAAGTTGGAATTAGCTGACCTATTTTCCTCATCTGTTTTCCAGACTCTGACTCCACATATGCAGTCTACTGCTGCAAAGGCAATCAATGGATGCATGGCTTTGGACTTGAGTAAAAGCTACGAAAGGACATCGAGTTCAGGCAATCAAGAGCTGATAAATTTCTCATTAGAACTTTGGAAGAAGGCTTTCAAGGATGCTTGTGAAAGGCTCTGTCCTGTTCGAGCTGGAGGACATGAATGTGGCTGCTTGCCTGTGCTGGCTAGATTGGTAAAATCTATATGCCCCATTAATTCTTTATAATGCACACGGGAGGGTCTAGTATCTCAACATGCCAGTTTTTTGTTAGGTATATTTGTGCATAAAGCTCCAACACTGTTCGTTAAGTTGCAAACTCATATGGTGATAAAAGTTATTTGATCGGATGATACAATTTGATCAAGTCATAAATTATTAACAGAAAAACTCCAATCAAGGTGGCCCGAGAATTTTGGAAGGAATTATTGAGTTTTTGGGTTTTAAGTGTAACCTTATGTATGAGATATTGAATAACTGAACAATATAATGGCTCAAACAGTTAATGGATTCTGTACTTTATTGTATAAATTAGAGTGTTACTTTTAAAAATATAGGGACATGAAAATACATAATAATGGTTATATTCATATATTATGCTTGTTTCTTATCTTCAATAGCTTCTAAAATGTACCAACTAGATGTTTTGAAATAGAATACTAGTTTTAAACCAAGGAGTGAGCCGAATTCAAGGACAGAGTATCTCAAGGCCCTTGGATGCATTGAAGTGGGACCAATTTTAAAACTGAGGGAATGAGCCAAATCAGCACTAAATTCCTGTTGCATGAGCTCTATACTGGCATTCCATCTTTTATGTCTCAGTTGAGGACAGTGCATGTAGAAGTATCCTGTGTTTGTATGCACAACAATTTGGTGCTTTCCTACAATCCTTGAGCACAGAATAGCCTTCTGCTCCATTTTCAGGATTATTTATTTATTTATTTTTTTGGAGACCATGCATTCTGTAAGAGTATGCATAGGAACAAATTTTCTAGGGTAATATTTTTGGGTTATTAATTAAGCAATTTCTTATTTTATTTTTAGGTTTTTAAATTGGAAACGGGCATCAGAGTCGCATCTTCAATTTTAAAAGACATCTTATTTAAGTTGGCGAAGTAAACTGGGGTACCGACAAAATTTCCTATATTCAAGTCAAATTTTTAAGTGTTTTTTTGACAGTATATGCAGAGTACTAAGTTATTTTACTTTATTTATTATTATTAATTTTTTCCTTTGAGGTGTTCAACTGTTCATTATCAGCTGTTGAAATTTGTATACAATGAAAGACATTTATAATAAATTGGTAGTAGTTTAGTAACCAGATTAACTCAAATTATCCACTATCTGGGCTTTGTGAAGACGTCTAAAGGATTTGTGTTTTGAAAGCTTGCCCATACAAGGAAAAAGAAAGGGAAATTGACCTTTAGTGAATTGAAGATAGCATGTTTATGTGTTGAGATCTTATGCAAATTTAATTATCTTTTTAGTAACAAAATTAACTTTTATTTATAGAATGGGATCTTTTATTGTTGGTCTTAAGTTAGAAAATAACCCATTATGTTGTTCAGCCTATGTTACAGTTACTCAGGTATGTGTGTTGGGTGTGGGTATGTATCCACACATCGGATGTGTCGATTACCCAAACATAGGCTCCTTCTGTTTGGGTAATCGACACATCCGATGTGTGGATACATACCCACACCCAACACACATACCTGAGTAACTGTAACATAGGCTGAACAACATAATGGGTTATTTTCTAACTTAAGATATATATATATATATTTGTACAGTAAACTAATGTCTTAAACTAATGTCTCTTTGTAACATATTGATCAATATATAGGCATTTCACTCTTTTTAGATCAATAATATTGAATTATTGGATATGTTTTTTAGGTGCATTACCCCTGTCTGAGTATTGTGTGTCCGACACAGATACTTCACCTACTTTTGAAGAGTCTATGTACATGGTGTTTAGTGTGGCATTTAGGATTCACACATATTTGATCAACTTTATCTTTTGGAATTTTATATATAGAGCAATGTCTGATTGTTAGACTCGATGGGTATACCATTTTCAATGTTTAATATATATATTTTTTAATGTTAGTTGCCATATTTGATTATGTAGGTTATCTCCCATCGGCCAGTAAGGGATTATTTCTATTGACTTTTGACTCCCTTCTGGCCTTATGAATCCATTAAATATTGGGTTCTTCTCTCTTCACCTACTTTTGAAAAGTCTATGTACATGGTGTTCATTGTGGCATTTAGGATTAACACATATTTGATCAACTTTATCTTTTGAATTTATATATATAGAGCAATGTCTGATTGTTAGACTTGACGGGTATGCCAATTTTTCAATTTTTCAATGTTTATTTATTTATTTATTTTTTTAAATGTTAGTAGCTATATTTGATTACGTAGGTTAACTGACAGAACCTTGATTTTTACCATAAAAATGATAAATATAACATCAATATGCATCTCTCATGTAATTATATTTATTTATTTGAGATAACTATTTTTATTTATAATGCTGGGCCTCTCTTATTTAACTAGATAATGGAGCAATGTGTGGCTAGATTGGATGTGGCTATGTTCAATGCCATCCTTCGTGAATCTGATGATGACATTCCAACAGATCCTGTATCTGATCCCATTAGTGATGCCATGGTTCTTCCCATTCCAACAGGGAAAGCAAGCTTTGGGGCTGGTGCACAACTAAAGAATGCGGTGAGAAATACAAAAAGCTTGTATCAAGCTGATCTCAAAGTGAAATTTAATCATATCCGTTGATAATTTATTTTCCTGGAGAATGCATAGTGATGCTACTGATTCCACATTGTTTGAGACTGTCTTCCTTGCCTTTTCTTTTCAGTGGTCTCTGACATCTGTTACTGTGTTTTCATTTGTTATTTGAAGAGAGAACATAATTTCCAAGTATAACTCTTGCCAATTTTTCCAAATTCATGGTTGCCAACCTTCATAATGAATATCAAAAGACTCCTCATATTCATAGTGTCGATCTAGGAGAGGATCACATTAGAGCCTACAAAATTGTGGGTTAAAATCCATGTTGTGTTACTTTCTTTTGAAAAGCCAACACATGATAGTGCACCTCATGCTAAGTTATTAAATGGTGTCGACAATAAATAGAGTGGATGTATCATTTATGAAGCAAATGTAATGTAATTGAATACATTATCCACCCTTTTTTTTTTTTTTTTTTTTTTTTTTTTGTAAATAACAGATTGGGAACTGGTCTAGATGGCTTACTGACCTTTTTGGTATTGACGATGATGACTCACTTGAAGATGAGAATGACCATTATGAAGATGATGATGATGGAAGAAAAGCATGTGATGCTTCTTTAAAATCTTTCCATCTTCTCAATGCTCTTAGTGATCTCATGATGCTTCCAAAGGACATGCTCCTAAGTAGGTCAATTAGAAAAGAGGTATAAACTCTAGACTCAAAACCTTCCAATCTCAGTATGTTGTCTGCATGACCCATATGTCGTACCATTGTTCCCAATGCTAAATGTTTTAAATTTTTTTTTGAAGGTATGCCCTACATTTGGGGCATTGCTAATCAGGAGGGTTCTCAAGAACTTTGTCCCAGACGAGTTCTGCCCAGATCCAATTCCCAAGGTTGTGCTTGAAGCTCTGGAACATTCTGAGGTTTGTCCATTTCAAAAGAAATCTGTCTTCTGTTTTCATTACTCGCTTTATGTGCAAAGTTAAACTTAAGTGGCTTCTAAAGTTAATTCATTCCATGATTTTGTTAATTAAAATAATTAAATAAATGAAAAATCACAGAGTTTGCATGAATAATTCTTATGGCAAAGATATGTCATTCTGGTACTATAGTAGTTTTGAATGATAAGCATGTAATTAAATTGTGAAAGTAAAATCACTGAGGGTAGTTGTAGTGGCAAAAATTGTGAAATACCTTGTGATTGCCTGGGTTTGTGTCTTGCCACAACAACAATTATTCTTGAGTCACAATAAAAAATTGTTCTGATTTTATTTTGATTCAGGATCCTCTTGAAGCTGAAGAAGGTTCTATAACAAACTTTCCATGCACTGCAGCTCCTATAGTTTATTTGTCACCTTCAGCAGCTTCAGTTTCAGGTATTATAGGAGAAAATGGAAAGAAATCTCAGCTGAGAAGGAGTGGGTCCTTAGTGCTCAAGAAATCGTACACCAGCGATGATGAGCTTGATGAATTGGATTCACCTTTAAGTTCAATCATCGACAGCTTTCGGGGTTCACCTACTCCAACAAAACCTAGTTGGAAATCAAATGAAAATGGCATTCGGAATACTGTCAGGTATGAACTTCTTCGGGAGGTATGGATGAAGAGTGAGTAGCAATGCTGGACTTGGCTGACAGGATTTGCCTATACTTGTAAACATCAGATAGCTTCCAAAATGCACATACTCCCAACAGCAGCTTAGATTGTCAAATTGATTCCTTTTGGGAACAAATGGATGAATGACGAGAACTATATATATAAATATATATATATATATGGCTAGCAAGAACAAATAATTGTATAACCCGGTTGTTTTGTCGTCTCTTTTTTTTTTTTTTTTTTTTCAGGGTTGGGTTGGAGGAGAGGGATTAGTTGTTTTATAGAGTTGTAAATAACATTTCTGTATTATCTGTTACTTGTTTGACGGCTTTGTTTCTCTCATATTTCTTCAAATATGAACTTGCCAATTTGTATTGTAGAGGAATTTTCGTTCTAATTTGTGCATTAGACCGCAATTTGGGGATTTGTCACCGAGTTTATTTAATGATAAATGGACCTTTTAACGGCACCGAGCTATTTAATTTTCCAAGTTATAACACTGTTGAAGATTGTTCTCTATGTTTCTTCCTGACAAATTCCAAGGGTGTTGTGGAAATTGAAACAAGATGTACAATAGAAGAGAAACTGGAAAATTAATAACATATTAAGAATTCAAAAGAAGCACCAGTTTGTGGAATGAGGGATAGGAGAATCGTAGTTAAATTTGTGTTTGAAGAAATATAGGTAATATAATTAGATTTACATTCCAAGTATGACTAATATTTTTAATAACAAATATTGTGTGATGATTCAGAAATCAAATGACGGGAGAATGAAGAATTAATAATCTATGTGTCAGGAACTGACAGCCACGGCCAAGAAAAAAAAAGAAAAAGAATTCAATGAATATAAATATAAAGCGATAAACACAAGCATACATCTTAGGCTCTTCATGCGAGGAGTATAAGAGGGAGATGCGTCTATGGTGGCGCCGCCAGTCTCAGGTGGCAAGAGTCGACCATGACGGCAGAGAGAGAGAGAGAGATGGTAGGAGGAGGAAATGAGGATGAAGAGAAGACTAGGATTAGGAATGGAGACAGTTTCACTTCAATATTACTTTATTGCCATTAACCGGGTGTTGTGTTACCCACATTTTGTTCGATAATTAAGAATATGACTGGATGATTTCATTATCAGCTACAATGGGTCCACGTGCATATCGAGTCGTTGGTTTAGTGGAGCAACCAAAATAAAAAAATGATGTAAGAAACCAAATTACATTGAACATTGCACTACTTGGCGGCTTCCACACCTATTGGAGAGTTGAATGGTCGGACAGATGACACGTTGATCATTTAATAATTAATCCCAACTCCCAAGTCAACTGATTTGGATCTCTCCGGTTGAATGGGTAAAATTTCATTGTTTGTGATTTGTTAAAGAAAAATGCTTCTCTCCTGTCCTTTTAATGCTTGACATGGATCAATAAAAATATGATATGTGTTAAATTTTTTTTTTAAAAATAATTAATAAAAATTATTTAAATCTTATAATAGATCATCCAAAAGGATATATATATATTTTTTCTTATGCTTTGAGAATTTCTATTACAAACTCTTCATATTGCAATCCGTTATAAAAGAAGAAGCTAAACAATTAGTCCAAATATGATAAATTAATTACAATTATAAGATTCTAATTATCAATAGAATTTAAAGAAATCAATTTGACTTTAGATTATGTTAAGAATATAATTGACTCATCACCATTTATTCTCTGATTTGGTTTCCTAATTTTCATGCTAATCAATTATGTAGTCAATTATCTTTTTGTTGTATTTTCTCCATTAGTTGTACTTTCCTTTTTGTCTTATTTCCCATAGTTAGCAATGTTGCAAAGTTGTATATATGTATTGTAACCTTCAGAAGCAATACACGATAGTTTTATTTCTTCTCCTCCACTTCCTAAATCTCATCATGGTATCAGAGCATCCATATCGTCTGACACATTTGTTTTCTCTTCTTTTGAGATAAGTTATTTTGTTTGACACCCGTTTGCAATGGGGGATCAAACTAAGAAAAACATTTATACCATTCAACCCTCAGATAATCTAGGGGCTATTTTAGTGTCTTCTCTGTTGAATGGAGACAACTATACCATGTGGAGTAGGGCTATGCTGAAGGCTCTTAGTGCGAAAAACAAGTCTGGTTTTGTTAATGGAGCAATCTTAAAGCAGTCAAAAAAGGATGCAGATTTTAGGAACATATTGTGGGGATTGGAAGCAATGCGATGACATGGTGGCCTCCTGGATCGTGAATGCCATCATCCCAGAACTTGCAGGTGACGCCATTTATGCAGAAATAGCTAGAGACTTGAGGAAAGGTTTTCTCAGCATAATGGCCCTCGAATCTTTGAACCCCAACAAAAGATTATTTCTATATCACAAGGTCAGGATTCTATCACAATTTATTATTTAAGGTTAAAGGGGTTGTGGGATGAATTGAATGTTTATTCTCTAATACATCATTGCACTTGTGATTCTAACAAGACCTTGGAAGGATATAGAGACAGAGATCGCACCATGCAGTTCTTGATGGGTTTGAACGAAAGCTATACAACTGTACGTAGGCAAATATTATTGATGAATCCTATTCGTGGTATGGCTAATCCACATTCGTGGTATGGGTAATCCACGTCCCACCATATTGGCTGGCCTCTTCAGTCATTTTTGAGATGGGGTTGCAACAGAGATGGCAGGTAACAAATGTAGCGGCTTGAACCATCTCTAATCCGACACGATTAAATAAACAGGTTAATCGTGTCGACCCTTTTATGACCCAAACCCGTTTATGTCAAACCCAAACCCTTTTAACTCATGTCCGGTTCATGTCGTATTGTCATGTCGTATTGTCGTGCATAATTTACCACCCCTAATTGCACTATTTGGCGGCTTCCACACGTTGATCATTTAATAATTAATCCCAAACCCCAAGTCAACTGATTTGTATTTCTCCGGGGTAAAATTTCATTGTTTGTGATTTGTTCAAGAACACTGCTTAGACCGCATAAATAGGAATGTCCTTCTAATGTTGATATGAACCAATAAAAACATGATATGTGTCTAAAACTTTTAAAAAATAATTAATAAAATTATTTTGATCTTTTTGCCGATCATTCAAAAGGAAATATATATTTTTTCCTTATGTGTTTGAGATTTTCTATTGCAAACCCTTCATATTGCAATTAGTTACAAAAAAAGAAACTAAACAATTAGGACAAACATGGTAAATTAATTACAATTGTAAGACTCCAATTATCAATGGAGTTTAAGGAAATCAATTTAGCTTTAGATTGTAACATGTGGTGATAAATTTCAAAATTTTGAATGCCACTAACGTATTTAATTAGTTGGCCTCTTGAGTCATTCTGGAGACCTCTTGAGTCATTCTGGAGATGGAGTTGCAACAGAGATAGCAGGCAACGAATGTGGTGGCTTGAATCATCTTTAAAGATTGGATGTAAAAGATTAGGGTTTGGGAATGGAGGAGGTGGCAAGCAATGGAGGTGGTGGAGGTCGATTGGTGGAAGAGAGGATTAATATTAGGGTTTCAGAATAGTGAGTTAAAGATGGGAGAACCGGTTACCAGGTCTCTGGATGACCCGTGAAAAGATTCGAATGATTTAAGTTTAATTTTTTTATTATTATTTTTAAAACATGCCATGTTGTTATTGGTCCATATTAACATAAGAAGGAGAGAGTTCTATTCATGCCGCCTAAGCCAAACTTTTTTCTTTTGTCGAACCGAAAAACAGTTAAAACACTAATATCTTTTTATTTATTATATTTTAATTGGTAAGCAAACTTTTCATTAATCTAACAACTAGTAAACCAAATGAACCAGAACCACCAGATTCCTTTTTTATTCAACTCCAACCTTAAAAGGCTAATTAAGCCAAACTTTCGTGTTGACCGGGTGCAAGACAAAAACTCCGTGTTAGTCCAACTATACAAAAAATAGTCAGAATACCATGTAATAAAAGAAAGCATATTTGATAATACCATATGTTATGAATATTTTTTTAGCTAAACCCATTGTTAAGTTGTAGAAGAAATCATGAACAATCCGTGCAAACTTGTGAATCATGATGCTTCGCGGGGACATTCCATCATTTGACCTCTGTATTTCAAGAATCACACGGATCACCTGTGAGATTAAAGAACCAATTAATATTGCCGGTGCAATAAACATGTATATATATTTAATACTAGTGCTTATCCGGTAATGGCAGTTAATTATTACATGCAATATATATATATATATATATATATATTCCACTTCTAGATCATTTTGAATTTCACTATTTGTTGTCTTGAAGGAATTTTTAGTGAAACTGATCATTTCCTCGCAAATTCCTTTCTTTGAATGATCTAATTGATGCCAACAGTACGGAGTCTACGGACTTGGCGCATCTTGGACGGCTCTTATTTTTCTTCCTAATTACGAAATTACCCCGAAGCCTCATATTTTCTTCAACTCCTGTTACAAATTTCTTGGTCAACTTTCCAGACGCGGCATTAGATATGTGTGTGTATATATATATCACAAAACTAACAGAAAATCTAATGGAAAACCTCTTTTGCAGATCAGCTCAAGCCTGAGCAGCAAACCTCCTCCCTTCTTCACCTAGCTCTTTTACATATTCATACACACCTCGTTCAGTTATACAATATATTCAGCTCATTGTGGAGGCATATTAGGTTATATATTTCTCTTTTTTGGTTTAATTAACAGAATTCTTTTACAGAATCCAACTGGTACATGTATTTAAATATCTTGATAAGTCCATTGATTGTTGTTTAAACTTTTTGCAATATAATTAATGGACAAATACAAGCAATATGAATACGTATTCAATCGTTTTGATGACAACAGAGATGGGAAGATATCGGCTTCAGAGCTGCAGCTTTGTGTGGGGTCAATAGGCGGAGAGCTTGAGCTGGCGGATGCAGAGGCGGCGGTGTTGGTGATGGACTCGGACGGTGATGGGCTGCTGGGGTTGGAGGACTTCGTTAGACTACTTGATGGAGTAACAGAAGATGAGAAGGTAAAAGATTTGAGAGAGGCTTTTAAGATGTATGAGATGGAAGGTTGTGAATGTATTACACCCAAGAGCTTAAAGAGGACACTTAGTAGGCTGGGAGAGTCTACTACTATTGATGAATGTGAGGTGATGATAGCTCAATTTGATCTCAATGGTGATGGTGTCCTCAATTTTGATGAATTTAAGGTCATGATGATGTGTTAGTACTGTTACTATATATATATTATATTATACATATATGGTGCATTTTTTTGTCCATGAGTTGATTACATGACATTGATTCTATAATTCTTGTATGATCGATGAAGAGAACACACATTCTTTATTTATGGGCCGGAAAATAAAAGTTAAATATAATATATACACATTGTTTTACAGCTAGTATGTGAATGCAAATAGTAGATTATTCCACTATAAAAATGGTACGCTACCGCAGGATACAGAACAGGGAAGATTAATTAGCTGACGACCCTAATCAAGTTAAATGTGATCATATTTTGCATTTTGATGCATTCATGTGGAACCTGTGTTGATCCCACATGAATGCATTGCATGATCATAATTAACTCGGTTAGAATATTAGGCCAATTCTTTCTGTCTATATATATATCATGGTTCTTGAAATAAAGATAATTAACTTTGCAAATCATTTCAACACAAAGTAATTATTCTCATACTTGAATCTTTGTGATGACACTTGTTTATGAGATGGAGGGACATTTTACTGTTTGACAAAACAATAGCCCCTAATCAAGTCACATAAAAATTTACAAAGCAGTTTATTGGAAGCAATAACATTAAAATTCTGACTTGAAAATATATATATATACACACACACACACACACACACACACACCTTACTAAAAGATAGATCACAAATACTTCTAGCTAACACATGCAAATTAATAAGGGACTCAAAGCTATAGAAGAAGATGGGAAGTTCCAGTTCTACAACATCTTTGTGAATTAAAGAACCAAAATATATAAAACACTTCAAAATTAACAGTAAAAGTAGGGTGACACTCACTGCAACAGAAATCTAAAATAATGATGCAACCCCCAATTAAGACCTCCATTCTTTTCAACCAAATAATTGTGTGTTTGCAGAAAATTAAGTTCATATGTATTTATATACGAATTGAGAACAGGACATCCATAAATATCACACTAATTATAATAACAAAACTGATCTATATTATATTATACATCAAAATTAAAAATAAAAAAAAAAATAGAAATTTTTCCAAATACTTGGAAGCCTTAAAATCCATATAAGACATGATGATATTCATAGATCATCATCTTCTACTGGTATGTATTAATATATTTGATTCATAATAAGCTAGCATGGAATCTCACATGATACTGCAACAGTTCATTTGTTCGCCACTTAAGCCCGGTTTAGTTGGTGGGACTGGCCCCTTTGGCTTTACTGAGTAAGAGTCGTGGTTGAACACAGCACGTTTGAGTTCATTGCCGCCACCTTTGTCACCAGCATTGCCACCATTGCCGGCACCATCACAATGTAGACACCGATTGTTTACAAGGTAGGGATTTGTTCCATAGTGATGATAGTAATTAGGAGGAGGAGGAGGAGGAGGAGTTTTTTTAGGAGCACTGGGGAGTTGTAAGTTGGCATTAGAATATCCAAACTGCCACCAACATAACTTGGCACGTTTTCCGGATTTAGCTAGAGTCTTCAAAAGAAGTTTGGGATCAACTGTGCCTGTCACTTCTACCATTCCATCATCACTCATTTTGAAGTTGGATACTCCTAATGCCGCCAACAAAAATAAGTAAATAAATTAATAACACTACTGCATTTAATTAACAATATATCCAAACAACTGATGTTCATTAATGTTTTATAATAAATGAACATGAGATAATTTATATTTCTAATATTGGATACAAAAAACAAACTTCTTGTCCATTTCATGGGATATGCATTCTGGAAATTGGTCACATCTATGAGAGATTAAGATTCAACTACTCAAGAAGATCAGGAATTTGAATAGCTCAGAAATTACTTGGTTACTTGTTGAAAGATGATTGTTTTGCCAAAAATGAGTATTAGAAAATTCCAAACGTGTACAAAAATATATACTCATACATATGTAAACCTGTCAGAAATCTCTTCTATTACACATTGTGTCTAAGAGGAGGGCGCCTACTATAGTCTAATACCATTAAATAATCAATTTTGAACATTTTTCTAAACAATAAGAAAAAAAAAAAAAAAAGTAAATTAAAGAAACCACGAATAAAGGCATCTATGCATATAAAAAATAAAAAAAATAAAAATCTTACCATTGGTACTCCTTAAAATCCTCATCACGGTTCTTTGCCATGTCCAAGATCGGGTATTCACCTTAAGAACACAAACCTGCAAACATATGATTCAACAAAAACAAGAATTATTTGCAAAATGAAAAAAATGGAAAGGAAGTGCAAATAAAAATCAAAGATGTATGTGTAAAGTATAACCATGAACGGGTAGTTGTCAATTTTTATTTGAGGGAAAACAAAGCTGGGGGCCATCGATAACAAGTTGCAATACACACTATCGAAATACGTGAAGGTTGGTGACAGAGATTGTGGACTTGTAGGTTGAGCGATTCAAGGTTTCTTGTTGAATAAAAGGGAAAAAACCAAGAAGAAGAGCAAAAATGTATATTTATATATAGTAATCATCTTGAATATTAATTTGGTTAGTTTGTAATTGATTATATATATCACTGACTTCCTTATTTAGCATTTGAAAATCTTTGATATACTTCTCCATTATTTTCCATAACTAAAACAAATCTTTCAAATATATTATATGGTGCATTGATTACCTTCTTCCTAATGTATCCACCAGTAGGATGCATTATAACCAATTCAGAAAAAAAGGCCCAACCGAGCTATATACAAAGCAAAGAAGCCCAATATCCACTATTATTAACCATTCAAACCCCTAAGCAGACTCTTAACCATATTTTCTCTTTTCACCTATATATGTATGTGTATATATATATACATATTTTTATAACATCAGTAGAAGAATTGTAAGCTTGTAAAATGAATCAACACTCTTTATGGGGTTGCATATATAACTTTTTGTTCAATTTATTTTTATATAAAAATATTTAAAATTTTAATTAATGAGAGGAGTGACTTTGAGGAAGCGGTGGTCTGCCGACCTCTTATAGCGCGCAGTGTGTTGTCCTAATTAATTTCCTTGCACAAAAATAGTAAGTTACTGAAAATTAAAGATTTCCTATTGCACAATTTTTGGCAACTAAATTTCTTATTGATTCGGCTTCCAAAATCGTAATATACAGGAAAGCACTATAATAATATATTCTCGATCTCTTGGTAATTTCCTATAAAGGTCGGATAAAAAAAACTCATTGTTTCTTTTCTGTTTTGGAGTACAGGAGCAGAGGCCAGAAGCCATTAAAGCTAAGGTGATTTTTCCTTTATTGTTCTTCTCCTCTTTAGTAAATAAATACTCATACTAAATAATCATGGCTTTCCATTGCCTTCAATTTTTCAGTTAGCCATTTCTCTCTATACTTAGTATGTCTATATATGAATATTTATGATCATATATACATGTATTCACCAGTAATATGTTTTCTTTATGTAAATGCAAGAAACCCTCGAGAATTTATTTCTCATACGTGTAGCTCTACATGATAGAGAAGAGATGTGTAGATCAATATTAAACCAAAAATAATGTTATTTTATTTTTCATTAACATCTTAATGTGTTAATGTATTGCATATTGGTTGATGTAGTATCATACTTTCTTTATTACTTCATTATTAGAGACGGCTACTTAGCACCTAGGGATTAGATCAATTTAATTTTTTCATACGTGTTTTATTTTATTTTTTCTCATTGTCGCGACTCTACAATAGCTACTGCCACCGTTTCGTTCAGCGCCGACTACATGCTCGCCGGTGAGAAGGTGTGGTCAACGCCTACCCTCCAACCATCACCACCACCCAATACCCACCCTCACCATAACCATCATGAACCACCAGCCACTATCTCCAAACTCCAGTTCAGATAAAATTGGCAAAATAAACCTACAAATCAAAACCCAATGTCGCACAGATGGATAGGTTTAAGAGTTTTACAGTGTCGCCGTCAGTACAGCCATTGATGGATCCATGAAATTCGAGATAAGTGGATAACGTACCCCTCCGGCGATTCGAAGTGAATTTATGAATTCTTCTCTGGCCGGCGATTCGAAGTGATAACCCTAGAGTTGTCAACAATAACAATGAGATCAAATACCCATAAACCATGATTCAAAGTCTTTTAGCACAGACCTTGTTTTTAGTTAGGCTGGCCCGAAATCCTATGGTATCGTTGGCTTGGCTCAAAGGTACGCATTCACTTTTTTGCCAGACAATATATAGAGTCTCTGTTTTGCCAGTTCGCTTGGTTGGGAAGGAAGATTTTCAGAGGGCACACATCTTTTAGTGTGTTTACTTAGGATATATATCAATTCGTCTGTGTACTTCATTAATATATATACATAATCATAACTTCTCTCATACTTCTTTTTCTATTAATGAACTCTTTTATTACTACTATTTTAGTATTTTTGAGGATTAAACTTTGTTTTATTGGTAGTGATTTTAGAGAGAGAAAGAGTGAAGACTCTCTCTGATATAGAGAGAGTAACCTTTAAAAGAAGAGGGAGATGGAGAGAGAGAGAGAGAGAGAGAAAGGAAAAGAATTTGCCGGAATGTTCAATGGTCGTGTCAACTAAATATGGCCAGAAAGAGAGGGATTGAGAAATAGAGAGAGAGAAAATATTTGGTTTATTTATTATTATTTCTTTTATGCGAGTATTTGAGATATTTTAATTACTAAATTAGCATAATTCTTGCATATCTTGAATATAGTGTGATAGGGTTTTTGGCATTTAATCCTTTATATAATTCTTAACATCTTTTTTAGCCTAATGGGATTAGATTAGATTATTATTATTTTCTTAAAAAAAAAAAAAAAATGTATTGTTAATTTGAATGTTTGATTTCAGAAAAATCGGAAGATGGGCCGAGCAAAATTGAAGATGGAACTGATTAGTAATGAAAAGGCGCGTCATTCGACCTTTCAGAAGAGAAAGAAGGGTTTGAAGAAGAAAGCTTATGAACTATCAACACTATGTGACGTGAATGTGTGCATGATCATTTACAGTCCCAGACAGAATGATCATCCGATGGAGCCGGAGACGTGGCCTACGAATCCCTATGAGATTCATCGCATGATTGAATTGTTCAAGAAGCGAACTGAGCAAGATCGTACTACCAGGACACTTGATTTGTCCCATTTTTTCATGGACAGGACTAAGAAAGTTGAAGAAGCACTGGTGAAACTGCGCAAAAAGAATGATAACGAAGCTAAGTATCCGACTTGGGACGACCGGTACAACACTCTGTCAGAGGACTACTTGAGGGAATTGAGCTGTATGCTGGAGAAGAGGCTTGTGGTCGCCAAGTCTCAGCTTCAATTGAGCAAGGGAAAACAAAGTTTGGAGGTGATGCCAGGTGGTATGATAGATTGCACTCCAATACAGTCAAGCCAGAATCATCCTTATAATTTCATGGATGACTTTGGTAGAAACAGCATGCAGTTGAAGTATCTTCGTGAGCAGCAATCCATTCCTTCTTCAGGTAATCATCATCCTCAACTTCATTATTACAACCCCACTACTGATCAACATCAACATCAACATCAACATCAACCTCAACCTCAACCTCAACCTCAACCTCAACCTCAACCTCAACCTCAACCTCAAAGGGGACATTATTACCCCACTGATCAACCTCAACCTCAAAGGGGAGGATTCATGCCACTGGATCCATACTCGACGAATTCAATGATGATGATAATGAATGGTAATGGCTACTGCAATCAGCTTGGTGGCGCGGGGTCTAGCAGCAACGTCATGTATCCAATGGATGGATCAATTTATGTTGATCCACCAATGCCACTGCCACTGCAACTGCCCAACATGATGGAGAACATTAATAATCCCATATTAATGCCCTACCCAGTGATGTCAACCGCTCCATCCCAAGTGCATGCCGCACCTTTTCAGGTGAAACAACAGTATGGTTATCATCATGAAGTCGATGATTTTCAGATGAAGAATAAAAATTAAGTGGTATGGTTTCGGTGCTAGTTTTGAGTATGGTTTCAGTAGTGGGTATGGTTTTCAGTTTTTTCGGATTGCTAGGCTTATTTAATTAGTCTGTTTATCTTCAATAGCTACTTATCTAGCAAATGACCTGTGAAGGAGTACTTAGTAGTTTTGACATACACAAACTATTTATGGATGGATTCTATTAGAAGCTTAATTTATAGGATAATTTGAATATGATAGGGATTTATGTGTAAGTTTTGGGTTTAGAATTTTGATTTATTTTTAACTTCTCATCTTATATGTTTGTCCTTGATATTCAAATAACTTTTGTTGCCTATATGGATTAATAAACTTTCAAATATTTCTATATGGCATGGTGGCTTTAATTGCACATGAATTCTTGATTACATAGTCGTCAAATGCACCTTGCTTTCAAGAAACTTTCATCATTTTGTCTCGTCAAATGCACCTTGCTTTCAGGAAACTTTCATCCTTTTGTCTCGAGTAAAAATATTTGAGAGAAGTTGCCTCTATAAACGAACCAAACCATTTGGCTCTTTTGATGTTTTACTTATATCTGCAAGAAAGCTGCTAATGTTTTAGCCTTTTGGTGAGATAATGCATGTGCAATTCCGGTAATTCAAAATTTTATCTAAGCAGGATATAGATAAATACAGTGGGCAAAGATTACATAAAGAACTAGTATTTCTAAAGGAAATGGACTATGGTTGGTATATCATTCGAGAGCCTATTACAAGAGTCATGACCTCTCTATTTATTTACTACCCATTAAAATAGTTTATATAAATACAACTCTAGACTCTTGTAGATCATGAAAGAGGCTCTCTTGATAGTATTACACAATTTAATTTTTTTTTTTTTTTTTTTTTTCACTTCAACTCTTGAACTCGAAGCCTTGACCTCACTTTTGAGAGGTGGAAGGTGAATAACATACCACCTAGGCTAAGAGTTATGTACTCAAGCTGAAAACTTAAGGTTCATAATTTCGTATAAAAACCTCATCAAGCTTCTCAGGGTTTTTCACATTAATTTCATTTGATGGAGGAAGTGAAGGGCAGCCATAAATAACAAGTTGCAATGCCCAAGCCTAATAAAATGTTTGGAGATTGTAGAACCATTTTTGTTTGTCTCTATATGGTATTTATAATGAGTAATAATTGTCATCCATTTAAGTTAATAATTTTATTTAAGTTAGTAATTAATTTAGGGGATTAGAACATCTGCAAAATATATAAATATATATTTGTGTAAATATAATCTATCATAATATACCTACTTAATATAGAGTTGATTGAATGAGAAAGAAAATATGCGTGTAAAGACCGTGCATAGTTGGAGATAAAAAAAAAATTTGCACATCATAACACAAACGAGTGTATATTTTAGGAAGTTTCACTTTTTGGGAAATAATAATTTCTTTTAACTTACTAATTAATTAGGAAGTTTCACTTTTTGTGAAATGTAAAAATTGGTAATATAAGTAACCTATATCGCATGATATAGATTTTAATTTCAGTATTATTTATATACAGTAGTTTTTTATACTGATTTTCTCAAATTTATTTGCTTAAAATTTTTTTATTCAAGCCCTATTTACTGGACCTACTGCAAGAAAATAGAATCGTTGTGAACATAAAAATTAGAGACAGACCGGAGGTCCAAATACAAAAGTCAAATGGGCTGGGCCTATCAATGAACAACTCTTCCATGTTTGTGGTCTTAAGAAAGAATAATTATGTTTGAGAGAGAGAGCGGTGAAGAAAAATATTGAAGGGTATTTTTGTAATTTTAAATAAAAATTTTTAATTTTTAATTTAATATTGAATAGTAAGGTTAAATTTATCATTTCATAGTCCGATTGACAGGTCGGATATGAATATTGGGACAATGTAATCACTTTTTAAATGTGTAGGAATTTTCTAAAATAGGTTGAAATTTTATGATCAAAATTTGAATATAGTGGAAGTTTTATGATTTTAACCCTATATATATATTTTTATTTCTTAGTTGGTAGTCACACTAGGAGCCCCCTTCAAAAAATTATTTACACCTAATAAAAATAGATCCTAAAATTTGATAATTCATGAGACATTGTAACCCAAATTTTTTCTAGTTAGGCCAACCCATTGGGTTTATAATTTTTTTCTATTAACTATACAAAACATATTAACCCTAACATACTGGCATAGTTAAAAAAAACCTTTGATTTTGATGCCCCATAAAACATCATATTTGAAGATTGCACCTAATGTGAGTAGAGAAGACGCTAGGGACAAAACCCCAAACCATACAAAACATATTAAAAGAGAGTAGACCACCAAATTAACACATTTAAGTGTTGGGTGTTTCGCGGCACAAGTCAATCGAATGCTATTGCTTACAAACAACCAACCCATTTATTCTTTGACTAGAGCCCTTTATTAATAATAATTACATATTCTTTTCTTTTGGCATCAAGTACTTCCCTTGTGTCCATATATTTTGAAGGACTTCAAGATTTTCAACAAAGTATTCTTGAGAATTAGTTGTACTTGATTTTAAAATATTTCACCCATATTTTAATGATTATAATTTTAAACTACATTTTAAAAAATAATAATAATTAACAATTGTACGAAAAAATTGTATTTTCCTATGATAAATTATGAGACAGCACTGCTATTATCGAAAGAAAAGACAAAATGTCTTACTCATGCATCTTTGCGTCATTTAATACAATAGTTTGCCAAATTTGGAAATTAGTTTAAAAGTAAGTTTAGTGGTGGGTTATTCTGTTAAACTTTATTAAAACTGATAATGTCGACCACATATCATGATTTGTCTTTTGCAATCATAAATAAGATTAGTGGGTCATATTGGAACATAATTTTGCACTTGAGTTGTTTACTTTAGGATGCATGCAATTTCATGTCAATAGTGCCCAAAAAGGATCAAGTTCGGCTCAGCCCACTTGGGGGCTTCTCAACTCGATTCAAGCTCACTATGAACTCAATACATTACCCACTTGTGTGTGTTCTTATTTTTACAATTTGACTATTATTTTGTTATGATATAAATTGTGGCCAAAGGCATGAAATCATATATAGTGAGCTTGAATCGAGTTGAGAAGTCCCAAGTGGGCTGAGCCGTACTTGATCCTGTTTTCTATAATGCCATATAAAAAATAGGAATAATATCTCTCAAACAAAATGAAAAATATAACACAGCATAAAACTCATATATTTTTGAACATAAAATTGATATAAAGATTTGAACTCTTGACTTTATATTTTGTGAGGTGATGAAATATCATTAAATATTTGAGCATATTTTTTTTTTTTGACTATGTACACATTACGGAGTCATGTCATATGTGAATTAGAAATTTTCATCATAAAAATAAAAATAAAAAGCTCAAAACATTATGATATTAAACTATATGAGATAATTAAAATTTAAAGAGAGTAAAAATTTAACTACTTTGGAATTGGTAGATTTCAAATTATTTTGATAAAGAATTTTGATTATATAATTAAGTAAATCTTATGCTGAAAGATAAAAAATTCATGAACGAGCACATCTTAATGACAGATTTTTTTTTTATCTTACCTAATATATCATAGGTTTGACAATATTAAAAGATTATGTCTGTCATATTAAATGAATTTTCTTAGGTCGATAAAACATGTCTTTAAGAGACGATGGATTTAAATTGCACAGCTAACGATTTTTCGTAAAATTAAAACAGACGTGTAGGGAAATTAATTATTTCTCGATGGTTCATTTTAAAAGAGTTAAGGCCCATTAATAATAACGCGTGTATGGATAGACTTGCGAGACTTCCCTTCCCACTTAGAGTCAACTTTCTCAGCCTCCAAACAGAACACCAGGAAGCTCAAGTCCTGAACCTGAACGGCTCTGCCAAGCACATAAAAACGAAGCCAAGCCTTTTAATAAGACGAATCAATTCGTTTTGAGAAAATTTGAGTGGGACCCACTTCCACTTCCCGGTAATACTATAACTTCGCTTTCAAGGACCAATCTCTCCGGAGTCCCGACTCCTCTCTCTCCTAACGCAAAATAAACGTCCCCCCGTCTCTTCTTCTTTCACTTCTACTCTACTCCGTCTCTCTCTCTCTCTCTACAATTTTTTCTCTCTCTCTACAATTTTTTGTACAAAACATAGAGAATTTGGTAGCTCTGTGATGAGTCGGGTAGTTCTCTGAGAAATGGGTACGTGTGCTTCAGTCCTCAAAGACCCAAATTCATCCACGAAGATCCGACGACCATTTAGGACTAAAACTGAAAAGGTTGTGATTCAGTCACCCACCAAAGTCAAACCAATCGTCAATGGTGACCGACCCACCGCCGAGTTTGGACCCAATTCTCAGCCCTATCAACCAGTTTCGAATTTTCATGACTTCGGTATGATCCTACTCTTGCAATCGAGATCTGCACAATTTATATTGAATTTACCATTGATTCTGATTGTTGCTTTATTTGAATTTTCTAACCATAAAATCGAATGGGCTTTGTGTATTTCATCCTCTCTTTTCAGTTTTGTTACTTTTATGCCTTGTCCGTCTTTGTGGTACACATTGAAATAGGTATGCGTTTTTGGTGGTTGATATTTCTGATATGAATTAAATTTGACCCATCTAATTTAGGTGATTTGCTGCTTGTATATTTTGGGTTTAAAGATGTTAGTTTTTGTTTTCTATCCTGCTGTTCATTTTCTTTAAAAAATTTGTAGTTATTTTTGCATAAAATGTATCATGCCATGTCTGTGACATGGTTTTTAATTAATTTCCACCACAGCCTTTGCGCACGGCTGGCTGAATGATATTGCAATAGCGGCCTTTGATCTCCATCTAAAGTGCTAGCCTAGTGCACGAGGCTCCACCGTTGTGGGGTCAGACGTACAGCCTCACCTCTGTCTGGAGAGGCTGTGGTTGTTTATGGTTTCAAGACCTTGACCTCCAGGTCACAATGGGCTTTGATGTCCATCTGATTCGTCCAATTCGACCTGAATTTGTGACTGGACAGTGGACACTGCCTTGGAAAGATGATAGCAACCCTGAAAATCATTTTATTTTTTCAAGGCTGATTGATAAAGAGACCACAAAGGAGGGCCGGAGAGGAAGACGTCAACCCTTCTTGAACGAGCTGTTAATATGGGAAAAAGAACAAGAAAGAAGATAATCCCGTTGAAGTCTTAAATTTTGCTTCTAGGATGGAAGTTGTGCATAAAGTCATAAACATCTACAAAGATTAAAACAAAATCATGTTGTGGTGTTATTGGCAAAACTTTAGTCATTCTTGTGCAGATTTCTGTATTAGTATTATGTTTTTTAACATTTCTTTATGCCTGTGTTTATTGAATATTAGAAATATGATATCCATATTATATCGAAACTCTCTTCAAATGGGTTTTTTCCTGAATGCTACACATACCCTCTTAAATGTTTACTTGTGAAGTGCCATTGATTAGTGTCCAGCATCATGGACAAACTTTCAAGTTTATTTTATAGTTGTAAATGGAGCCTTTTTTAAAAAAAAAAAAAATTATTAAATACCTTATATTAGATGACTGTTTCAAATGAATGAAGTAACCGTCACACTTTATATTACATAAACACCATTTTATTCAAAAAGGGGGGAACAAACAAAAAAAAAAAAAAGTGTTGGAAAATATAAGCAGCTGGTTGAGTCTCTTTGTCCTCAAGTAGTTAGACACTTTCTCATTAGACGCATATATGAGTTCATGTAACATAGTTTTTCCCTTATATAAACGACGGAGAGAATTATCGCTTAATGGAATAACTGGTCTGCACAACCATAATCTGTCAACATTCATCTTTTAAACTGGATACGATTCTGAGTGGTCTCTTGTTCTTTTGTTTTTTTTTACCTTTTCCCTCTTTTGCGTTGATTTTAATCAATTCATATAGCTTGGAAGTCCTTACCCATTGTGATTTCCATCAATCCTTACTCAATAAACTCTCCTTTCTCAGCTCTCAGGTATGCTGCTGCATTTGAATAATTCTCGAACAATATCCACATCAAAATTTAGATTTAGAAACCCAACTATAGAGGGGTGATGGTGATGGGAGATTCTGACAAATCTATGTACCAAATTTGTTAACTCCCTGTTTCACTTGAAGAGAGAAGTTTATCCAGATTGTTTGTTATTTGATAAAATTATAGGAAGATAGCTGCCTTGGCTAAAAATTCCCATATGCCATTGCTAGTTGCTTGCAATTGGATTTTGGCATTTTGAAAGCAATTTATTGAAAGAATTGACAAGGTGAACTGTCCTTTTTTAGTATTTAAAATCCAAACTTTTTGTTGGATTGTCAAATTTGGTGAATTATTGGTCGATATTGACCTTCTTGGAATTGTATTTTTGGGTTCATTATCAGACTACATTTTACAGACAATATGTTTATTGACATTACGATGGCCACTGTGACTCATATATGTTCATTGTCATTATTTCACTTTTTTATTGTCATCAAATCACATACAGGATCCTAAACATGGTACCTATAAACAAATCACTTAATAAAAAAAATGTTCATTGTATATTGATATGCAATCTTGTTTATGTTCTGACTCCAAATTATACATCGTATTCTTATTTGTTCTTTTAAAATATGTCATTATTAGTGCTCAAGCTTCTTTTTTTGGTTGCTAAATAAACGAAAAAAATCTGTACGTGAAAAGTGGAGTGATCAATTTTTTTTCCCAATTTGAAATTCACACATCCTCTTTGCCCCACATGGGGAATTGAACCCTTGACCTTGTACTTTGAAAGGTGAGGAAGTACCACTAGGCTACAGCCTTGGTGGTATAATTTACTTATTTTAAAGCCACCGAATGCACAGGTCATACGAAGTGACAAGGTTTATGCAACTAATGGGTGTCCCATTTACATGTAGTTTCAGATGCATTATTTGTTGATGTTCGTTGCTAATCTTATAGCTGTCTGATGCCAAAATTTTATGTATGCGCCATTGTATTGCAGGTAGTAAAGAGGAGACCTTTTTTGATTCCCAGCCCTGGTTAGATTCAGACTGTGAGGATGATTTCCTCAGTGTTAATGGTGGTAAGAATGCATTAGAATGCTTTCAGTTATTTTCTCTTTCAAGCTTACATCATTGTTTGTGGGCATTACATCTTTAGATGAGATTTCTTTCTTGAATTCTATACTGTATGATTGATTGACTGCTGCTGATTACACCTATAAACTAAAAAAAATTTCACCAAAAATGGAGGCTCTGTTGCCAAGGAAACAATCAAGGATCGAGTGACCCTAAGTTTGCCAACCTCGAAGTACCAATTTAGTCCAACCTGTTAAGCCATAGGCTGTAAAAGTAATCCTACTGATCTTAACAAGAAAACCTCAAACTTGGAGCTGTGGAAGAATATGTCAAACTCGGCTTAATAAGCCCGATGACACAGGTCCAATTGTTCAAGTCTAAGAGCATTCACTTTTTGCAAAAATGTTAAAGATTAGGTTTGTTTTTAGTCTTTCTCCTCCCAGAAGACCTTGCAGGGGTAGTTAACACTGAGTGATGCCCCCCCTCCCCATTTCTTTTTTTTCACAGGAAGAAGTTACGAATTGTTTGGTGGTCTTTCTGTCAAATTTCATCCTGTTGTAATCCATGCAAGCAGAACCAGAACTGTTTTTACTGAATAAATTATTTGGTACTCTACTTGTCAAATGTCATCCTGTTGCAGTTTTGGATTTTGCCTAATCTTTGCCCAGCTGTATCATAAGGAATGTGAGATGTGGAAGTTGTGTCATGCAGAATGTTAAGAGTGTTTCTAGTTTCTTTACTTCTTGTTGCCACCATAAACTTTTTATTAGGTCTCTCTGTCACCTAAAATGCAGATTTTACTCCATCTCGTGGTAGTACTCCAGTCCATCAGAGCTTCTCCATGGGAACCCCACGAAGATCATTTCTCGAGGACAGAACACCAGGTTCCAAACCTGAACCATCCTCTACAGGGAAGAGAATGAAACTATCTGAACTTCTTGAAAAGAGCTTAGAAGGTGACGAAAATGTAAAGATGGAAGGTCAGACAGCTATGCTGGAGCTTTTTCAAAAAGATGCAAATGTCACCCCTCGTGACTCTGGAGCTAATTCTGTCAGCAGTATTAAAAAAACTCCTAGTGGACATTTAAAAGCTGAGAAGGAAAAATCGGTTAGATCTGCAGAGTGTTGCATTCCGAGCTTGCTTTCAAGCCGTAGCTTTAGTGAAAGGAGGAAGAAGAAGAAGAACCCTGTCCATAGCTTCCAGTGACTATACTCTTGATTTCCATTACTTTCAGTACAATGTATATTGAAAGAAGCCAAAATCTCAAATCTCTCTCAGAGAGTATTACAAGTTTAAAATTAATGAATTTAGAGTAAATATATAAGGGTATTGGTTTTTAGCAGTCATAAGGATTTACATATATAAAGTCAGACAGAAGGTGATGCTCAATAAATCAGTCTCAATGCGACACTGTCTTTATGTTCTAATTTTTCTTTTCTTCTAATGTTCAGTTTCACTTTAGAAAGCTATTACAATCAATGTGGTAGTATCCTTCTAATGGGTAAAGCCCAACTTACCGTCTGATTCTCAGCGAGGACTATACTAATTGGGCCTCAGGGAACAGAAGGCATTGTATTTCTATGGGCCTCATTCAATTTTTGGGAAGCTTATATTATTATGGTTCAATTTCTGTTTAGATAAGAAATTTATTTTGGTATCAAGAGTTTTTGTGCCTATGGGGTTAGTACGAGGAAAGAGCCAAGCTTTCTTTTCAATACTTTTTTGAACCCCTAATTTGTCATCCTGAATGCTGCATAACTTTGATATTTGATTTTGCCAAATATTAACTAGAGTCTGTGTTGGAAATATTGAGAAGTGGTTGATCTCATTTTGTTTTCAGGAGGAAAATCAACAATGAGTTGGTCTGGGGGAATGCCTGTGTTTTTATCTAGGTATTTAATTTGTGTGAAGCATTGCAGTCTGGTATTGTATTGTCCAAACAACTCATAAGCCCTAAACTCTGTTTGGGGATCACACAAGGTACTGATGGGCCACAGTGTTTATTGGGCCTGGATCATCTAATTTTGGTTGGGCTCCTTGAAATCATTGATCGTAATCATGGCTCAAAGCCATGCATGTATAGATCACAGAGCGAGAAGAGAAAAAACAAAAAGAAAAAAAGTGCGTCTCTACTAAGAGACGAGACCAAACAAAGAGATACTTTTCTTATTCAAAGTTGGTGAACAGCTTTTGGGGCATCAATGTGAAAGGCCAACTGTGTGTGATTATATTGTTAGGTAAATATTCACATATCCTCAATATGTGGATGGAACCCCTCACCTCGTTTTTTCCCCTCACCTGAAGAGAGGTAAAAACAATTGGTCACATATCCTCAATATTAATCTCCTACTTTTAAAAAAAAAAAAATTAAGAGTTTAAATTTCAATAAAGACATGTGTGTATAAGTACCATACCAATCAATTACAAATCTTGGTGGTAGTGTTTGTGGTGTGCATTGAGTAATGGCCATTAGAATATCTTCATTGACGTCAGCATGATCAGTAGTAAGTTGCATAAGATCAGCACCATTCATACGATTTGGACGCAAGCAGTCTCTGAAAATGATGATACTATAACTTGCAAGTTTGGAAGTCGAAACCAACAATACCAAAAAGTGGTATGCTTCCACAACTGAATCGTCGATCTCCACATCCAAATTTTGAATCTATGTCTTTGGGTTGTCAAAACCTAAACAGATAATGGGAACACTACTATGCTTCCACAACTGATTCCTTCAATAAACTGTACTTTTCTTTTTCATCTTACAATCATTCAATAAACTAGTTATGGAAATTTCATTTAATGGGATGGGTTCTAATCATCTCATCTAATATATTTTTTTTGGGGACACCTACATAAAACATATTGACCATTTTAAGAGTTGAATTTGGATCCCCCCTTTCCATACTCTCTTGCAATAATATTGTGTTTTTCTAAAAAAATTAGAAATTGTCAATTAGTTCAATTTTTTTATTCTAAAGACAAATAAGTCCTATAAATTTTTTACAAAGACAAATAAGTCATATTTTTGAGAAATATTTTCAAATAAGTTCAAATTCTATAAAAATGAACCTTTTTTCAATATTCCCCTTTATTTCTAAATTCCTATGAGTGCATTTTTTTCACTAGAATATAAATTTTTCTAAACTAACACTTATTTTAAAAAGTATGAATTGTTACCAAAATTAATAATCCTAAAACATTTAACAAATGATTTCAACTTCAATTTTTGTAAATACTCCACATGTTAAACTACAATGAAATGCCTTTCGTGCATTACATTTATGAATAACAAAAGAATTTTTTCCATTACTTGTGAATTTTCTACTTCATATTTCTTTAAAAAAAGGATAATTATTTTTTTCTTAAAAAAAGGATAAATACATTAACTTCTCCTATAGATTGCCTAATTAACGTACAGGGACATCCCCCCTAATTTAAATTAACATTCATCCCTTTTAATTTTGGTATGGATGACACCTGACTTGCCTTTTCATAAAACCTAATATTTTTGTCTACCGATGTCATGCTTAAAATTTACTTAAAATCCAATAATACCCTTAGAAAGTTTCGAAAATGATATTTTGTCTAAATATTAAATTAATATTAGTACAATAGGTATAGTAGTCATTTAACACACATTCTACGCAAAGCCAACACTTACAAGAGAGGTCAGTGTTACTTTTCAAATCATCGCGGAGCTAAGTGTAATTATTCAAAAGAAAATTCTTAGAAATCAAAATAAATCTCTATAAAATTGAGACAATGTTATTTAAAAGAGTTATCAAATTATTTTAATATATCAAATATAAAGTGAATTTGCAACTACTTTTTTTCTTAAATTCTTTGTTTTTAATTTTAAAAATTAGTAAAATTATTTGGAGAAAATTAGTTAAGTTGTATAAAAATATATAAAATGGATAAAAGAGGAATTGTATTAGCCATATAATTTTGTTAGAAATTTTTATAAAGAGTAGGACTTCATTATCACATAAGAGTTTTTTTTAAACTAATTTTTTTTAGAGTGCAAATGTTGATTTTAATATTTTTTTTTTCTTATCAAATGTTGTTTTAGGTGGGGCCAGTGAAAACTATAGCATTTCGCTCATTGGCCCCATTTATTTATTTACATTATTTACGGAGTATTTGTTATTCCTTTGTGATTTTTCAGTCAAGCAATCATTATCCATATGTAAAAGCTTAATTCGAACCATCATGGCGTGGGAAAACAAAAGAAAATAAATTTTGTAAAAGAGTCTCAGAGTCTCAAACCAAAAGTTGAAAGGTAGAGAAAGAGAGAGGACGTAGGCTGCCCTTTCTTTGATCTTTTTGGCTTTCAGTTTTCAAAGCTTTTTTAAATAATAAAAATGATAAGATATTTATAGATGATGTTATCTGACAACATATGTAAAGATGAGATTTATTTATATGTATTATACTTTTTTTTTTTTTTTCTCGCAAGCAAGAAAACATATTTATTAATTAGAATCAAAAATTACATCCAAACTAGTTTTATGCAAAACAAAGTCTGTGAAATTATTATCCCATAAATATATATTTTTCTCTTGTAAAGCATATGCAACAACTGCATGGGCAACCTCATTCTCTGCTCTAGGCGTATACACCAAATCAAAATCAGGGTGATGATGAAGCCATTCATGGATATCTTCTACTAGAGGCCTAAGTAAAAGAGACGCAGACCCATCCAACATCGCAGCCTTGACAATGACCTCTGTATCAATCTCAAACACAATATGACTGTAACCCCAACGAATAACCTGGTCCACAATCTTTCGAAGCACTAAACCTTCAGCCACTAACGGATTTGAAACTCTTTGAAAGAAAAAAGACGCCAATCGCAACACCTTTCCCCTATGATCACGCAGAACCATTCCACCTCCAGCCTCACATAAGACTTTGCAAAATGATGCATCAGTATTAACTTTAAGCACGTCTACTGGAGGAGCTTGCCACTTAATAGGATTCTCATAACTATTTTGCCCTGAATAGTGTGATCTCATAGTAGCAAAAGGAGCAACATTACAATTTAAAAATTCAAAACAGTGAGCTTATCCAATTCTAACTATCTCCATTACATCTTACCATTTTTGCTCAAACACCCAAGCATTACGCGCCTTCCAAATCTGCCAACAAAGAAAAGCAGCCATATTCTTCATCGAGTGCTCCTCACTTAAGCTCGACCAATTCTCCATTTTTGATCTCCACCATCTATCCCACTGTCCATGGCCAACTTCCTCCCCATCTAATCTAAGCGTAGAAAGCTTCCAAACCAACTTGGCTCTTGGACACCTATAGAAAAGATGACTAACTGATTCAGTTTCCAACCCACATACTTTACAGATAATATCATCCATCATCTTCCTCCTACCAAACTTTCTAGTACAGCCACATCCTCATTTAAACAGCGCCAAAGGAAATGTTTAATTTTTGGCATAACCTTCAACTTCCATAGATGTTTCCACTGTTGTTGACGTTCTTCTATCCCACTTGTTCCATATTCACCTCTATTTGCATGCCGCATCCCACCTCTTTTTAACTTAAGCGCAACCTGATATGCAAATTTTACACTAAAAGATCCATTTGCTGAAAAAAGCCACCATTGTTTATCCACTCCTTCTGTAACCCGCAATTGGATCTGTAAAATTCGTTTCCAATCTTCTTCTTTAAAAATTTGTTTAATCAGGAACTCATTCCATCCTCCTGTATATTGATCCACCAAATCAGCTACTCTGTAAATGCTAGAATTAGAAGGTTCTGGAGTAAAAAGAGTAGAATTGTTTTTATCAGGAATCCACTTGTCTTCCCAAATTCTAACACTCTGACCATTTGCAATCTTCCATACCAGCCCATTCTCAATCACTTTTCTGGCTGAGAGAAAGCTTTGCCGGGCTCATGAAGAATTTGAACCTTTTTTAGCTCTGAGAAAATCACAATGAGGGAAATATCTACTTTTATAAATTTGAAAAAACAAACCTTTCCGTTCCACTTGCAGACTCCATGCTTGTTTTGCTAGCAAAGCTGTATTGAAAGCTTCCATGTCTTTAAATCCCAATCCCCCATCTGCATTATTCTCTGTCAATTTCTTCCAGCTAGCCTAATGAATCTTTTGTTTCTCCAGATTACCACTCCACCCAAACTGGGAAATATTCCTCTTCAGCGTATTACATATTTTGTGAGACACCTTGAAGCATGACATCGTATATGGAAGTAAAAATTTAATAAACTATATTTTGAATTCCACAAGTATTTTTGTATATGGAGAATTTTATAAATGTCCTGACAAAAAGAAAACAAATGGAGAAGAGAACTCTGCACTGTGTTTTAGTTTTGTCATTTTGTCTTGTGGGAATCTTTAGCTATGTTACACATTTATATAATTTTTCACATGTAACATACCTCATTAGGGGTATACACGATCCGGTTTAGATCGGATTGGAAGTATTTTAGAACTAAACTATTTATAACTGTTTCACTATTTTTAAATTAGACCAAACCATACTATCTAAGAAACCAAACCAAACCAAACCAAACCGCGAAAAACCGGTTTGGTTCGGTTCGGTTTGTCAGTTTCAATTGATTTCTTTTTTATTTTAATTTAGAATCAACTAACGTATAACACGCAAAAAAAATAAAAAATGAAAATAAAAATTTAAAAATAAATAAAGGAAAGAAAATTGAGATATATGTGAAAGGAAAGAAAATTGATATATATTTGAAAATGGAAATTTGACTTTTGTAAAAAGAAATTTAAAGAATTTAAAGAGCAAAAGAAATAAAGGAGAGACGTGAGAACTTTACTCGATTTAGGTTTAGGATATGATATACACATGCAGGCTCTTATGCGGTCCAAAAGAACGGATATTTTAGCGAATCAATAGTCAAATAGTCGATTACTCATAATACTTTATCAAACCTAATTATAATTAATATTTGTTACATTAATAGTCAATTTACCATATTTAGTCAATACTTTTATTCAATCTTTCTCCACCTTAATCTCTTCCATTTTTCTTACAATTTTCAACAGTTAATTTGTTTATAAATTTGTAATAATTGTTTATGAAAAAATCCCCCTAAATTGAAAAGAAAAAAAAATTAAAATAGCAAAAAAATTAAAAAAAATTAAGCATCATTCGGAAACTAATTTAAGAATTGTCCCACGTGTATTTAGAGTATAGGGAACCAATTGGCATATTGGAAGCATATGATAGATTAATGGCATAAGAAAGAGTTTCCAATTTACTTTAGTTTGATATACCTGCGCAAGTAGTACCATGAATTGCTAGACATGTAGTATTAAAGTTTTTGTTAATAACGATCTAAATTAGAGAAACTGTGAAGTGGTAAATGGGGGTGTGTGTTATGTGCACTTGACATGGTCTCGCCAAAATGTTTCTGCATGATTATTTTCAACAACCAAAAAAAGTAAAAAAGAAGTTGAGTAATAGAAATAGTTTTTGAGACATTTTAAAATTTTGAACGTGGATTTTCTAATACCATAAAATATTTCCAAAATTAGGATGATGAAGTTGGATATTTAATTGTATTTGTGTATAAAATTTAAAAGAAATTATAATGGGTGAAAAGTATGGTAAATTGACTATTAAGGTAACTATGGTAAATTGATTATTAAGGTAATAAATATTAATTATGGTTAGGTCGGATAAAGTAATAACGTGTAATTGACGATTTGATTATTGGTCTGCTGAAAAATTCGTTCTTTTAGACCGCATGAGAGCCTTCCTTAGCCTTCCTGATGATATATATATATATATATATATATATATATATATATATATATATATATATAACATAGAAATGGTTCGGTTATATATATATAACATAGAAATGGTTCGGTCCGGGCTGGTCCGGTCTAACATGACCCTAAACCAGGACCGGACCGAAAAATTAAGGTTCCATAATTTTGGACCCAGGATCAAACCAAACCACTATACAATTAACCCAAATCGATTAAACTTGAATTGTTGACATAATATTTATTGTTGAACTTGATTAAGACCTATATCTCAAGAATAAATATATAGAAAGAGTAACACTAGTTGATTTTGAGGGAGCCAATTGATATTGAACATCCACAATCCATAAATATATGCCCTAAATACTAATCAGCTAGTATTTATTTTCAAGTTTTAACAATGATCCTACTTTTTAGTTATCTATCTAAGTGAACAGATTATGTGTAGTTATCTAAAGTCATACATACACACACGCATGCATACATACACACACGCATGAATACATACAGTCAAATAAATGATAAGGAAGGCAGGCAAGTGGGCCCCACCCATTTCCTTGTATTTTTGCTTTTCTATGGTCGGATGGGCATTCCCCTTCTGAGTGGAAAGAAAAGAACGTGAAAAGCCCCTTCCTTTAGCCAGAAATTCTATCAATCAGTTAACATATTGTATAATTAAAGTTTGTTTTCACATTCTCTTCCCTCTCTCTCTATATATACACATCTTATATCTCATAGAGTCATAGCCTTCACATAGAGAACCATCTTGCCAAAGCAAGAAATGGGTCTCAATTGCACACCGAGTGTAGCAGTAGTGTTGAGCTTATGTGCTCTGTTCTTAGTCATTGAGTCTCATCCAGCATTAGGTTCGAACCGTGGTTCATTCGGCCTAGCTACCGATGATGTCACTGCACCACCGGCCGGTATCTGCTCCGGGGCGGTGATTTTACAGGGTTACAAATGCCAAGAGTTTGATGTAAGTGCTCAACCCCTATAATTATTAAGTACAAGAATTTCATTAATATAGTATATACTGTACTAAAGAGAGTTGCGCGCACACATATATGTGTATATATAGTTGAATTAATCTATATATTGCGTTGATGAATGTTGGTAATTAAAATGAGTTTTGTTATTAGGTGAGAACAGATGATGGGTATATATTAAGTGTGCAAAGAATCCCTGAAGGTCGTGTAGGAGGTGCTGCGAAGAACAAACAACCAGTGCTATTGCAACATGGGGTTCTTGTGGTAAGTGCCTATATATATATATATATATATATATATATATATGATCTATACATATAGTATTATTATGTTTTAGTTTTTGATTTGTTTCAGACAGCAATAAAATCAAAGTGTTTTTGCTCACCACTCCGTAAGAGAGTATGAACTTACAAGTAGTAGATTATTGAGTATGAATTATGAAACCGAGTATGGATAGATCTGACATTGGGACAAAATAGTTTCAGTCCCGCGTCTTGGCCTCATCTTCTTCATGGGAAAGTTAAATCAATCATTTCGGTCAATTTTTAAGGGTGTTTTAGTAATTTCGTCCCACTGACCGCTTACCCAGATTCATTTGTAAATTTATTAAATTATTTTCTTATATTTTAAACAATTACGGTATGCATAGTTTTTATTATTTTTATTCCTTTGAATTATTAATTACTTCCCAAACCCTTATTTTTCTTTCTCTTTATTTTTTAATTAAGTGAATTAGTAAGAACATAGATGGCACGATTCTTCCAATATTAGATCTTCAACCTTGTAATAAAACGTTGATGGACATTCTATTTGGAAGCAAGTGGGGGCGGTCACCATATCAGCTAAAGCTAGGTGGAAATTTTTTAATTTTTTTAATACAATTTTCAAACATTATGATTAATTTATGCTTCCTAGGTTAAAAAAAATAAAATTAATTTGTGCTTCCTAAAAAAAATATCTTTAACATCAAAGACAATCGGTAATGAGTGATACACAGGATAAAGTGGACTCTTATTAAGGTGTAACTTCTTATTTTTGTTAAAAAGTAGTGAGAAAAAGCAAAATCTAATTTAAACGTTTATTTTTTATTTTTTAATTATTGTCAACAAACTTAACATGCATCATTCACATATCCATACTTTTGTTTCTTTGCCAACTTGAATCCTCATCACATTTCACCATTCATTTTAAAAGGCAAATGAGATATCAATAGGTCACAAGATCCTTAATTAATTTAAATATTGTCATAAATAAATTTTTTGTTAGATGTAAAAGTCAATTTATAAGGTATTGTAAACTTTTAAATTATATTTCCAATAGAATAAATATATATTAATTGGGTAATATGAAAATATCAGAAACTAAATATTTCCAATTTAATGTAAAAGGTTATTTAAATGTTAAAGAAGATGAAATTTTGTTATATTTAGGTTTAATACATGTATAAACTATGAACTAGCCAATAAATTATCAAGAGAAAGGGTAAAAGTATAATAAGTAGACTAGTAACCCGGATACGTACAATCCCGTGATGAATAATAAGCACGTGCGAGTTTGTCTGGAAAGGTAAGAACAATTAACCCCAAATGAGAGGAATCTCATCTGACGGTCCGCAAAATCATGCGGACCATCTTATGTACCGATTTTCAAGATCTATGGCTATGCATCCCCATTGCATTCACCTGTCTCGTTTTGTCCGCATACACCTTCTTATATTTTAAAAAATCATTACCCGTTAATGTTTTTATATATATGTGCTTGGAAATTGTTAAATGTGGTAATTAAATTAAATATTGTGTTACTACAACTATTGCAGGATGGAATGACATGGCTATTGAGTTCTCCGGATGAATCCCTGGCATTGATCTTGGCTGACAGTGGCTTTGATGTGTGGATCGCTAATACTAGAGGAACCAGATTCAGCCGCAGACATGTCACTCTTGATCCCACTGATCCTGTACGTACGTGTGTGTGTGTGTGTATATATATATTCTCTAATTCTCTACCGTTGTATATCCTCACTCTAGCTTAATTTCTAAAACTGCCTCACAAATTAAAAGTACAAATTCAAGCTTGAACGCATTTGGAATGAATGAATCCCTTCCTCAAACAAACTTGATCATTGAGTTCATGAAGCTATCTATTTATTATGATGTTGATAGAAATGGGCTGTTTTTAAGCTCTGGATTCTTGTAATTAATGGAGGTTCTGGTTCCTGAACGTATATGCATCACAAATTTCACAGGATTTTTGGAATTGGACATGGGATGATATGGTGACCCACGACCTACCAACTGTTATTGATTTTGTGTTCAAACAAACCGGCAACAAGATTCATTATGTTGGCCATTCCATGGTAACTATCATTACTTCCCTACCTCTCTCTCTCTCACACACACACACAAATATATATATATATATATATATATATATATATATATATCACACAAATATATATATATATATAGAGAGAGAGAGAGAGACACACACACACACACACACACACACACACACACAAACAACAATAAAAGTGTGCATAACATTGTTTTTGGCAGGGAACTTTGATAGCATTGGCAGCATTCTCAGAAGGGAAGCAAATAGACAAGGTGAAAGCAGCAGCCCTGTTAAGCCCAATTGCTTACTTGAGCCACATGACTACTGCACTTGGTGTTGTTGCAGCAAAAGCCTTTGTTGGCGAGGTACACCCACCGTATATATTTTAGCTATGAAATTACTAATATATCTATTTCACCATCTAATAGTTTAACCCTAAATACACGCACACACACACTTGCTAATGAATTAAATTTAATATCAATTTCTTGTTTTGTTAACAGATCACTTCGCTCATAGGTGTTGCAGAATTCAATCCCAAAGGGTATCAATCTAAATACTATGAGTTAGTTGGCTTGACTAAGTCTAGAGTAACTACTCTAAACAAAATTTTTAGCCTGAAAATGTACTTAATTTAAACTATAATATTTTCTTCTTCTTTTAATAGTGAGCCAGTAGCCAACTTCCTCAAAGCTTTGTGTGCTGATCCAGGTCTAAACTGTTATGACTTACTAGGAGCACTAACAGGTAAGAGATATATATGTGTGTGTGTGTGTGTGTGTTTTTTTTAATAAAAAACAAAAAACAAAAACAAATTGAGCACGTGTTTTCAAGTATACTGACCATGTGCAAACAAATTACTAATTTGAGGCAAAAATTGCTGTCTCAATGTCTCCACCGTGGATCTCTTCCTGAAGAATGAACCTCAATCTACAGCAACCAAGAACATGGTGCATTTGGCTCAGAGTATGTTTATTATTCATATTGTATTGTAGCACTTATCATCATTAGTTTTTTTTGTTTAAAAATGATTTGTAATGATCAATTCGCATGTATACAACTGACAATGGACACATTTATGAAATACTGTATCAAATTGCAGCCGTTCGAGATGGAGTTTTAAAAAAATACGACTATGGCAATGATAACTTCAACGTGGAGCATTATGGTGAAGCCAAGCCGCCTGTTTATAACCTCTCTAACATTCCCCACAACCTTCCCCTCTTCCTCAGCTATGGAGGCCAAGATGCGCTTTCTGATGTTCGGGATGTGGCCACCTTACTGGACAGTCTTAAACTACACGACGAAGACAAGCTAAGCGTTCAGTACATCAAGGATTATGCTCATGCAGATTTCATCATGGGAGTATCTGCCAAGGATATAGTTTACAACCAAATTGTAGCATTTTTCAAACGACAAAATTAATCACCGATCAGCCTCTCAGTCTAATGTATTAGAACGGATTTTTACCCGTTACATGATATAATGAATCGTTATCAATTCAATCTCAGTGAGCTGCAAGTATGTAGTGTAGCACATAATAATTAAAGATGATGAAATTTGACACAGGATTGTGTCTGCGTACCTCAGACATCCTTCCAAGAGTTATTAACTGATGTTTTCTGGAGATGACTGCACGAAATCCATATATATAGCACCATATCTATTAGTCCTTGGGCCCCATAGCACCAACCGATTGATCTTTAATCACTTGTCAAGGCATTTCCATCAAACAGTGAGTAGAGAATTTGAATGAAATGAGACAATTGGGTTGCATAAAGTGTGTTCTTATTTTGGTCTAGAAATCAAGGTCGAAAATTTACATGTCAAATAATAATAATCCAACTATGATATAGATTGCATATATAGATAGAGATGGTGAGAAATGCATATATAGATAGGTATTTAATGTATTGTTTTATTGCAGTTTTAATTGATTAAATGATTTATTTGATCACGTGCCTATTTGTTTATGTGTTTTTAATTGAATTATTTGTTTAAATTAATTTATGTGCTTAAATGTTATTTTTATTAATTATTGGTATGAATTGATTTGTTTAAATGTGAAGTGATGATGTGTATTTATTTGTTTACATGCTATGTGTTTATTTGTATTTAAATTGTTTGTGTTATTTTGTTTTAGGATATTTACCCATGAATAGTTGTATTTATATATTTATGATAATATATATATATAGATAGTTTTAAAAATTATTATTGTTATTATTATTTTTATGGAAAGTAAGAATTATATGCATTGTTATTATTATTTTTATGAAAATTTAGAATTATTTTGATGGGATTTATTAATGGAGAATTTTATTATTTAGTTTCTTTCAGCTTCTTACTTATCCTTATTTCTTTTGTATACTATGCTTGTTAAATTACCAAAATGCTTTTGATATCTTTCGGTTCTGTGTTCGGACTTGATTACCCGTGACTCTAAAATTGAGAGGTATCACAAGAAATGAACTCATCACATCAGGACTACGACCACCGGAATTAGAAAGAATGATGGGGGCACATTAAAAAGTTGACGGAGAGATGATCATGAGATGGATAGATGCCTTTTGTTTGGTTCGTATTTGAGATGATTCAATCTACATGATTCAAACCCTTTGTAGATACATGCATGTACCAAATGTCCAAATTGAAATTAAGTCCCTCCATGAAATTAGCTATATAATGGCCAAATTGACAAATCTCAACTTGACTTGGACGAAGGACTCATCAACATAATGCTTGCTAATTTGATCAGTTTGTGGAATACGACAAAGCACAAGAAAGATAGGATTGACTACCTAGGGTCAATGGTCAAAAAAAACAAAAATCATAGGATCAATGACTTGAGTGGTTAGGTCACGCTTCATTTACTAGATTTATTTGACCATTATAATAGGACCACCATGACCCCTGTCAAGTTCCTACTAGAATGGTCAAGTTCACATCAATTCTTCTCATTTATTTGTATCAGAAGAATTAATCCTAGGTTTTACATTCCACAAGTTTTCCTTATATTCAACCTCAGTTTGTGGAATACAACAAAGAAACCCAGCAATTTCCTATTCGGGTCTCCAAGTCATGAGAGTAGCTAAAAATTCTTCTTGTGAAATTCATTAATGTTCTTGTGACATGGTATCACCAACAAATTACATGTTCACATTGATATGAGTATAACTCGACTTGGATGAAGCACTCATCAACATAATGCTTGCTAATTTGATCTATGAAGGACTCATTGCATCTTTTTCATCAAGGCATGTAGATCAACTTGTACATTAGCAGATTCCACTTAGAAATTTTAGAACCCGTCTTGTTCACAATAATTACAAATGTTGATTATGATCAATACCGATCAGTTTGTGAAATACGACAAAGCACAAGAAAGATAGGATCGACTACCTAGGGTCAATGGTCAATTTAATCATGATTCATTTACTAGGTTGGACCTCATAATCCTCTCAAACTTGATCAGTTTGTGGAATATTACAAAGAAGCCCAGCAATTTTCTGTCCTGGGTCTCCAAGTCACGAGACTAACCTAAAAATCTTCTATTCTCTTCTTGGAATATGGCAATGTATAATCACTTCTATTGAAATCCTAAGGTTCACATCATACCATGTCCAGACGGCTACTTCATCACATCAACACAGCTTGAGCCTTTCTTTTATGCTTTCATAGAACTGTGTCCAACTCATGAGTCATGACCACTAGCATAAAGTCATTAACCACTTATTTATTGGGTCAAGTACAGTAACTCCAGCATCCCATCACATATGTTGGGCAAAATGGCTATTTATATCACCCGCTATAAGAGCAGAACATATGATTTCAATGAAATCTTCAAAATAGATACTCTAGTCCAAATTGATTTGTTGTTGAATAACAACAAATAGTTATCATCTTTTTGCGGTGAGAGTGTTGCATAGTTGCATTCCACGCGTACTCTTGCATTTCCAGGCATGGGTATGAAGAGTGGCTTCCTTCTTCAACTTCTCTTTCTCATCCTTCTGTCAGGCTTGTCATACCTTGACACCATTAAACTAGGCTACTGCTCTGGCAGTACCAGAGTAGGTTGCATAGAAATTGAGAGGAAAGCACTTCTCAAGTTCAAAGAAGGTCTCACGGATCCCTCACGCCGACTCTATACTTGGGTTGGAGAAGATTGTTGCCAATGGAAAGGAGTGAGCTGCAGCAACAGCACTGGACACGTCGTGCAGCTCAAACTCGACAACCCATTTCCAGATAGTTTTGATACCCCACTGGGCGGTGAGATCAATCCTTCTTTACTTGATTTGAAATATTTGAATTACCTTGACTTGAGCAACAACAACTTTGGAGGAATTCAAATTCCTGACTTCATTGGATCACTCGGTGAGTTGAGATATCTCAATCTTTGCAGTGCATCCTTTGACGGGACAATCCCTCCAAGTCTTGGCAACCTTTCAAGCTTGCGTTATCTTGATCTCAATTCAAATTTTGTTGAATCAATTGAGAACCACCTTCATTGGCTCCAGAGTCTTTCATCTTTGGAGTACCTTCACTTGGGAGGTGTGGACCTTCACAAAGCGGCAGCTTATTGGCTTCAAACTATCAATATGCTTCCTTCACTTTCCGAGTTGCACCTGCCCCAATGTCAGCTTTCCCAACTTCCACTCTCCCTACCCTCCTTTGTTAATCTCACATCCCTTTTGGTGCTTGACCTCTCCTACAATGGTTTCAACTCCACAATACCCCACTGGCTGTTCAATCTTACTATCCTTACAAGTCTTGATCTCCAGTCCAACAATCTTTACGGTGAGCTTCCAGATGAATTTGCCAAGTTAACTTTCCTCCAAAGCCTTGATTTGTCCCAAAATTCTTACATTGGAGGTAAGTTATCAAAAAGCATGGGATATCTCTGCAATTTGAAGACATTGAGACTTTCGATCAATGAAATCACGGGTGAGATAGCTGAATTCATCAATGCTTTATCTCATTGCACCAACAGCAGCTTAGAAACACTGCATCTGGGATACAACAAGTTGACTGGCTATCTGCCTGATTCATTAGGCCATCTAAGCAACTTACGCTATCTTCAACTCTGGCAAAATGAGTTCAGAGGTTCGATTCCAAATTCCATTGGAAACTTGACATCCTTGGAGGAATTGTACCTATCGGACAATCAAATGAGTGGTCCCATCACCGAAAGTCTCGGGCAACTGGCATCACTGCTTGTGTTGGACCTCTCTGAGAATTCATGGGAAGGTGCTGTCATAACAGAAGCTCATCTGGTCAATCTCTCAAGTTTAAAGGAGGTATCAATCAACAAACAATCTCCAAATATTTCCATGGTTTTCAACATCAGTTCAGATTGGATTCCTCCTTTTAAACTCACTGTCATCGACATCCGATCATGCCAATTGGGTCCCAGATTTCCAGCTTGGCTTAAAAATCAAAATGAGCTGAAAACCCTGGTACTTAACAATGCCAGAATTTCAGACACCTTCCCTGATTGGTTTTGGAAGTTGAATTTGCTGCTTGATAGACTTGATGTAGCTTATAATAACTTAAGCGGCAAGTTGCCAAACTCATTACCATTCACTGACCTATCCATTGCCGATGTGAGTTCAAACCGCTTTGAGGGACCTCTGCCGATTTGGTCTTCTAATGTAGCTGCACTGTATCTGAGGGATAACTTTTTCTCTGGACCAATTCCTCATGAGATTGAAAAAATGCCCCATCTGACAGACCTAGATATCTCTTGGAACTCTCTAAGTGGAAGCATTCCCCTGTCCATAGGTAATCTGAAAGCTTTGAATACCCTAGTCATCTCAAATAATCGTTTATCAGGAAGAATTCCAGAGTTTTGGAATAATTTACCAGATTTGTACATTGTAGATTTGTCAAACAACAAACTCTCTGGTACAATTCCGAAATCATTAGGTTCTCTAAGCAACCTCAAGTTCTTAACACTCAGTGGAAATGATCTTTCAGGCAAACTCCCTTCCACCTTGAGAAATTGCACTATCATAGAAAGCCTTGATCTTGGTGACAACAGATTGTCTGGAAACCTTCCAACTTGGATAGGAGAAAGCATGCAATCTTTATTAATTCTCCGTGTGCAGAATAATTCCTTTAGTGGAAGCATTCCTCCACAAATTTGTAGCCTATTTACCCTTCACATATTAGATCTTTCCCAGAATAAGCTGTCAGGACTGATACCTTCCTGTTTTGGTAATCTGACTGGCTTTAAAACAGAGTTCACAGCAGAAGATGCTGTAAGATATGAAGGGCATCTGAAGGTGGTTACGAAAGGAAGAATTCTTGAATATAATTCTACCCTTTACCTCGTTAATAGTGTAGACCTCTCACAAAATGATTTATCGGGGGTGATTCCTAAAGAATTAACAAGCCTCTCCAAACTGGGCACGTTGAACTTATCCATGAATCACTTGACAGGAAAAATACCGGAGAGAATTGAAAACTTGGAAAGGTTAGAAACCCTTGACCTCTCAAAGAACAAACTTTCAGGACCTATTCCACCGAGCATGGCTTCTCTGACCTTTTTGAATCACTTGAACCTGTCATATAACAATTTGTCAGGTAAAATTCCCACAAGCAATCAGTTCCAAACCTTCAATGATCCATCAATTTATGAGGGTAACCTTGGTCTTTGTGGGCTTCCACTAGCAACCAACTGCACTGACAACAATGAGACGTCTCATTTTCCTGAATACGAAGATAGAGACACAGATGATGGAGACAAATTTGAAAAGCTGTGGTTGTACCTTAGTGTAGTATTGGGATTCTTCACGGGATTCTGGGGAGTTTTTGGTACTTTAATAATCAAGAAAAGTTGGAGAGATGCCTATTTCAATTTCCTTCTCGGAATGAAAGATAAACTCTCGCAAAGGTCTCATCAGATATTGCATTTTCTGCATAGGAATGTTTTTGGAGCTTAAAAAAGTTGTCGAAGAAAACTGGAAGAAAGATGAGTGTTCTCTAAAAAATAGATCATATCCTACTTTTTGTAAGCTATCCTGTAATAAAATAATGCAACAATATAATAATATTGTTACAATCTTGATTAGTCCCTCTGTCCAAAAACGATGTTCTGTTTTGTTACAATCTTAATAAAAGATGTCACGGTTCCCCAATCAGGACATCTTTTTTGGAATACGTTTATATAATGAAGTTGCAGGAGAGTTTCAACAGTATCAGGTGCTAACGCAAAGATTCATTGAGGATGAACCTATTCAAGGGCCTAGAGTCCGAAAGTCAAGAGTCGATGTGTTCTTCATAATCTTCTTCAAGTTCCTGTTATAAGAGGTGAGTGTCTCTAAAACCCAAAAAAGGGATGAAAAACGGAATCCTCTTTTTTACTTATTTAGGGATAAGCATGAGTCCATGACCTACAATTGGGTGCTTGTTAACTTGCACAATCATCTTTGAGCTTGGTAGGCCATACACACTAAGACCAACAACTGTTGCTTTTCTTAAGTTTCTTTTTCATTTTTACTTTTAATGCTAATTTGTTCATATCTAAGACAAGAAGACTAAAGCCTAATCTGTCTGCAGAGGACTCTTCGAAAGATAGAAAGAAGGCAAGAAGAAGAGAAGGAGGTGAATATGACATTACAAATGACTTGCTATTGGAGATCATGGAAGAATCAATACAAATATTTTGGCGCTTTGTTAAAGCTGATAAGGATTGCACAAATGTGATTCGAAGAGCAGTTGAGGTTGAACTTCAAGACCCTGCAGACACTGAGATTTTGATGGAGGTCCGAAAAAATCTTCAAAAGGTTAGCTTTTAACACTTGACAGATAGGATTATAAGTTTTCCGTTTGATGAAAGCATGGTATGCTCATTTTTTTCTTTCTTTTTATTAACTTGGATGAATGCAGAAGGAGAAGAAGCTTAAAGACCTTTTAAGGAGTGGAAATTGCATATAAAGGAAGTTCCGAAAGTGTCAAGAAGACGAATCAGATCACGTTCTCTATTTCTAAAGCCCCTGTAGGGCCCACGACAACAAATAGAAAGCAGCTGCGTGGAAAGAGAAAGAAAGTCAGGTTTGGTAATAACCCCTTGGTCATTACAATGACTAAAGCCCCTGTAGGCCCACGACAACAAATAATACATTTAACATTTATATATATAAATAATTTATTTTACAACCACAATAAACATTTAAATAATTAACTTATGCACAAAATAACAATACACGAAATGCAATGGACCCGTGACACAACCCCCGTGCATAACGACCCCGGTAACGGGTCTCACCTGGAACCTCCCAGCCCGAAAAATAAAAAAATGTCGAAATGGCAAGCAATACATTTTCAAGTGTCCTGAACTCAAGAAAATGCCCCTATCAACACTCTGACACACCCGGCACACCCCACGATATTTGACACGCAAAACGAGACAAGATTGAAATAAACCCGAAAAAAATCAGAAAATTTCAGAAAATGAAAAATGGCAAAAATCGAAAATATTATAGTTGTTGGGTACAGAAATTTTATTTTGGGTTCATTGCATATTATGCATTATTATTTTGTACTCATTTACTTGGTGACATGTTTAATTGTGGTTGTAATTTAGGCTACGTTTAGTAACGAGAAACGTTTCTTGTTTTCTGTTGGCAACCTCTAAAAAAACAAAACGAAAACAAAAATCCCGTTCAATAAAATGTTTTTGTTTTTCTATAACAGAAAACGTGTTCAATTTTTGTGAAGAAAAGAGAAAACATCAAAATGATATTTCTTATGTTTTCGACACTGTAGTAAAGAAACGTTTTCACTAATGTTAGTGCACAGGTACTATTCATTTCAAATAAAATTCATATTATTTGTGTTATATAATAAGTTGCATATTAAATGTTAATAAAAATATATAATTTAAATATAGAATAAATTAAATATTATATATTATTTATTATTTGATAAAAATATATTTTAATTTATAATATATTAAATAATAATGTAAATGATTTTTTGTGACAAAATAATTTTTGATATAGAATATAATGTTATTAAATTATTAAGCAGTAGATATTTTATATTATTATATATCATATCTATATTATATTATATGTAAATATTAAATTATAATTAATTTACAATATTATAACACAATATATATTTAATATATTATTACTTTTTATTTTTTATTATTTAATAAATTATATTATTTAATATTTTTTATTCATAATAAATTATTATATGCTAAATATATTATATATCACATAATAAATGTATACATCATGCATATACATGTATTTATATACATAATTGGTAGGAATATTTTTGTCTTGGTATATCTAATTTTGTACTTATGATGTATTGGGTATTTTTGAGATTTATAATTTCAAATTAGATTTTTTAGATTTATGACTTTTTGATATTAATGGAAGCCAGAGAAAATAGACCCCTATAAGAGAAAGCCGTGCAACCAAAGTTTGGAACCCGGAGGCGCTAAGAAAGAGAAAGCGTTATCACTATACGAAAAAGTGTTGTGCCTGAGTGATTGGGTTGTTCCCTGTGTCCGAGAGTTCGTGTTCAAGTCATCTACCCTCCCCTCTAATCACTAACTCTTAAAATTCTTGCCATGAAAAAAATAAAATAGAAATGAAAAAAAATAAAAATAAAAAAATTTAAAGAATATTATGTACATTTTGTGACAAATATGTTGTATTACTAAACACAATTATTGTTTTATGTTTTCAAATTTGTGGCAACAAGTGTTAATAAACATCATTTCTGTTTTCTATTTTCACTCAAGAAAACAAAATCACGTTTCTGCTTTCTTAAGACCACAAAAACAGAAAACGAAAATGTTACTAAACGCACCAAGTGTGTGTATATATGTGTGTTAAATGTAAAAGTAAAATTTTTATTAACCGTGGGACCCGCCACTTTAGTAAGTCATTGTCAGACATTCATTTTCTCATCTCTCACGCAGTAATTTTGCATTTTATGTGAATACTTTACAAATTGTGTGGTTGTATAATGCTATTGTATATATTTAAGTTCACCCCTATTACATTTTATGTCATAAACCAAAGGGTCATTACAGACCCTAAGTTCTCTCTCACTGCTGCGTTTTCTCTCCCTCGCCCTCTGCATTTTCTTTTTCTGCCATTTCAAAGCTTGATTTCTCCTTCTCCTTTAAAAATTAAACTTTGCCACTGAAGGCAAAGTCAACGAGCACGTCGAGGCCTACGTTTTGGTAGGAGCGAATCATTATTTGGGGCATTTTCAGAAATTCAAATTTGGGTGAATATTGGGGTTTTTCATCTTTATTGGGGTAGGAGTGTTCTAACCCACAATTTCTTTAACCCTTGTGAATTTTTCCCCTTAAATTTGCTTATAAGCATGTTTAATTTGATTATTTGACCTATGGTATTTAGGATTTTATATGATAATGTGAATTATGTGAATAGTTGGCTCAATTACATGTTCCTTAAGTTGATGTGATGAAAATATATTCAATTTATGCCTTAGTTTGTTCAATATGTTTAAATCGTTTATTTAAACATGGGGTATGTGTATATTATTGAGAATTATTGATTTACATGAGATTTCATTGTTAATATTGAAATTGTGTAGTATGGAACATTTATGCATTCCATTGGGAAAGGAAAAAGGGAAAAGTGCTTTTGAAAAACAAAAGAAATTGTTTTAGGGGAAAAAGTTTTCAAAAAGTGTTTGCAAAAACCCGGACGCTTAGGAGTCGCCTAGTGGTCCGCGGCACTAGTGTGGTCTAGAGGGGAGTAGGGAGAGACCCTAGCGTAATTGAGCTACCTAGACCGGATATGTCTTGATTTCGGGGACGAAATCTTTTAAAGTAGGGGAGAGTGTAATGTTTGTGCCTTTATATATATATATATATATGCCTGTGTGTGCGGTGTATATTAAAAGAAAAAAAAAAAAGAAAGAGAAAAAGAAATTAGAAAAAGAGAGGTGGGATGTAACGACCCTCACCCTGGCCAGACACAATATTGTCCGCTTTTGGCTCACCCAAACCAGAGACTTCCCAGGGGGTCACCCATCCTGGTACTACTCCAAGTTAAGCACGCTTAACTACAGAGTTCTGATGGGTTCACGACCATTACGGCTTTAAAACGCGTTGTGTCATAGAAGGGTGTTGAATCTACATATAGCACTTGCCCCATCCACACCCAAACGATGTGGGATTGTGCACCTGTAGCTCGCCCAGTGTGGTAGCCTACTGGTGCCCCCTGCACACGCTCACACACACCCACCTACAAGGTCGCCACAATCACCCCCCCTTTGGGGCCCAACGTCCTCGTTGGCCACACTTCCGGCTGGGTCAGGCTCTGATACCATTTGTAACGACCCTCACCCTGGCCAGACACAATATTGTCCGCTTTTGGCTCACCCAAACCAAAGACTTCCCAGGGGGTCACCCATCCTAGTACTACTCCAAGTTAAGCACGCTTAACTACAGAGTTCTGATGGGTTCACGACCATCACGGCTTTAAAACGCATTGTGTCATAGAAGGGTGTTGAATCTACATATAGCACTTGCCCCATCCACACCCAGACGATGTGGGATTGTGCACCTGTAGCTCGCCCAGTGTGGTAGCCTACTGGTGCCCCCTGCACACGCTCACACACACCCGCCCACAAGGTCGCCACATGGGACCCACGTCCCTTTTAAATGAATTAAGAGACCAAGTTAGTCTCTGTTCTTTTCCTCTCTCTTTCTCCCGACTGCTGCTCTCGGCTCCTTCTCTTTTTCCTTTTTTTTCTTTTTTTTTACTTCAAGCTTTAACCCTTGATTACTCTCTCAATCCTTGCCGGATTTAGGTGCCGTTTGAGGCAAAACGACGAGTGTGGCGAGCTCTACGCGTTGATGCAAGCAATTTCCAGTTTTGAGCCTTCTTTGGAACTCGAAAATTTAGACCAATTTCTAGGGTTTTGGTGCAATCTTGAGGTAGGGGCATCTTAATCCACTCTCTTCTTGTTCTATTGTGAGTTATGCTCTTTTGTTGTGCTAGACATGCTAAATTTGAGAATTAATTGCTTCAATGAGGTGTAAGTGATGTTTAGAAAAAATTCATGTCTTAGGGTTATGACTTGTCTATGTGAAAAGCATGTATAGATGATGGTTTTGTGGTGTTTTTTGTGAATTATACCTCTTTTATGTGCTAACATGCTTTACTTGGGGATTAATTGTGTTAATGATTATTTTAATGTTGTCTAGAGAAATGTATGTTTATGTACATGTGATATATTATGTGAAAAGCTTGCTTATGTGTTGAGTTTATGTCTATTATGTGTAAACTTGCTGAAAGTGATGTATGAGACCATGCTTAATTGTATTGTGCCAAAATTTCACATTGTCATGATATTGAGATTATATGTACATTCATGGACATGTCATTGGGATGCATGAAATGGGAGAATTTGTCTTGAAATGAAAATGAGGAATTTTTGGGAGATGATAGTTTTTGTGAAATGGTTTTGATAAACCCGGTCGCTGCGGGGTTACCAACGGGCCGGAAGTTAATATAGCCTAGAGGGGGCTAGGGAGTCGCCCTAGTGTGGTTGAGCTAGCTGGGCCCCATAATGACGCCGCGGGGTTACCAAGGGTCAGGGACACTAGCCAATCCTCCTCTCGTATCGCGGCGGGGTTACCAAAGGGCGGGCTGTATTAACGTTTGAAAGTGATGGTTTTGAGAATGAAAATAGGGAGTGTCATTGACATGCATGGCATTTCATTGCATTGAATTGCATTGTTTATAATTGGAATTGAATTGTATGTTGTATTTGATCCCCTACGTTGTATGATCCCTATCTCCCATTGGCCTATGCTTTACTTGAATTCACAAGGACACAAGATTTGTGTCTTAAGTGTCACCTACTGAGTATATAACTCACCCTACTATTTATACATTTTTTTTCAGGTCTTGGAAAAGAACCGGTGAACGACAACCCACCTCAAGCTTGAGCGATACTAGAAGCTCACTTTTGTGTCTTTTGTATATCTCCCATTATT